ACCGAAATCAACTCCTAACTAAGATATTTAATGATTATTGATGCGTGAATTCAAACCACCCACTCATGAAAACTCAATGCTCTGCGTGATTCACATCGCGCGCTAAACGTTATCATGACAGTCTCTGCGATATAAAAATCTGACAACCTCAATCTTGACGCTTTGGTTCAGCTGTAGCAAATTGCTTAAAGTTTGAACAACACATGATGGGAAATGAACATTACTCGATTGAGAAGCTTGTTGAAACTTGAAACCGTTGTAGTGCGCGATTTGACTCACGTAGAGCTTTGAGTTTCTTGTGAGCGGGCAGTTCAAATCCCTCGTAACCAATGTGACATAAAAACGTTAATATTTTCGTTTGGAGTTTGTTTCATTAGTTTTCGTTGCGCAAATCGTGTTCTACGTGAAATTCTGGTTAAGAAACATGTATCAGAATGCTTGAATCGTACCTTGTCTAGTGGTCCATTGGAGTTTTAATTGCATAATGCAATCCATATGATGTTCAAAGTTAAGCGGCACACATTGATAAGTTACCATCTATCATCACATGGTATTTTGGAAGGATATCACAGTGTACAGACATAACTTTGGACTCGACAGACGGAGTAAGGAGGACCAATGATTTGATTATCTTAAATGATACCTTTCCTATGCTCAACGGCGAGTCTGTAGATCGGCACCCGGCGCAATCTTCCTATAACGTTCCGACTTATTAATTTTTATGTCATAATTCCCCGCAATCTTAGCAACGTGGGGGATCGAGGCATTGAACCAGGTGGCGGCGGCGGCGGGGCAATTTTCAAACAGAAACAAGAGCCTGCGAAAAGTGATTAAAATTTTATTGATTTTCTCCACGGTTTTAACCACGCTGTGAACCGCAAAAATTCCATCATTGCCGCGCTTTAAAAAATTCACGCGTTGTCCTTTGAGACGGAGTACTGATTCGGTTACGAGTATAGTTTATTCTTGAAATTTGGCAACTGGGAACGGGTGCGCTCTAACAAAGCTGGAGATTGACGTTGAGGTAGGATGCTACATTGCTACCACCTACCATCCTTGCTGCCAAACTGTTTTCCCGCTTATTCTTTCTAAAAACGTGCCTACCAGAGTATTTAAGGGGTTTGATGGACCTGATCATCGGCATGAATTCTTCTAGCTTAGAGCAAGTGATTAAAATAGAAGATTTGAGTAACGAATAAAAACATACACTAAAAAGTATAAAAAAACTAGAGGGCTTTCATTGATTTTACACCAGCATAAACTTTGAATAATGATGAAAATCATTACGGAGAATAAGGAGGAAGGAAAGTCTATGCTTAATGGTTCTGACCTGTCACTAAAAATCTTGTAGCATTAATGATGTGACAAATCATCAGATGCACTGCCTGTCTTTTTGTAAGTCACTTTGAGATTTTGTTTCGTTTCGACAGCTGAGGAGGAGCCAAGTTTTGTTGTTCCTCAATCATTTAGATCGTTTAATTTTTTACGTGAATCGACTAATTACGTTGAATATTAGGCGATAAAAAAAGTATGGGTCCAATATGAAAACATTTTTCTACAACATGAAAAGCCGACGAAATGTGAGTTCATCTTCGTGGATAAAAAGGAGCCGGGTTGCAGATTACAAAACAAAGAATAGATGCTTCATTTACAATGATTGGACGGTCTCAAGAAAAATAACGGCTCAGTTATAAATTTCATTTGATAAAAAAAAAGAGGAAAAAAAAACCCCAGAATTAATTAATTATGGCGTGGAAGTTACTTCGAATCTAAAATTCCAACCCTCCACCTTCAAAGCAAGATCAGCCTGGAACAATGGAGTTCGTATTATGCAGGGTCCTCTATAAGAATGCGCGCCTTCAGTTTTTTGCTTGTGCAACTTAGACATCAATCAAGCAGGAATAGTTGCTTCGGTGCCGGGCGTTCCTATGAACGTTCACATTTCGCTACGTCAGCAACAGGGCAGCCACAGAGGTTGATGAGCAGATTGGAAACCACCGAAAATCCACCAATTTCTTAAAAAGTTCCTAACAAAGTTCCTAAGTACCTGATCTTGTGGGAGCATTGATCTATTTGGAATTTTGTAGAGACCATCTTACCACTAAAAAAATGAACTATTTATTAAATTAGCTTTAAGTAAAAGTTTTTTTTTCTTTCTTTCTTTCTTTTTTTTATTTAAACAAAAGTGGAAAATGAACACCACTGACCACTCGCACCTCAGGCCAATGATATAAGAGAAGGACAATTGTTACACTCATTGATCATCCTGCTCATAGTGACAGCCATCTGAGATTTTGACTCTGAGCATCTATTTGACTGATGGATGGTGCCGATTCACATATTACGGAAGTTGGACTTTTCCCTTGCCTTACAAATGAGTCTAGTCTGTCTCCCTACAGAAAGTAGCTTTCAGAATAAGATACTATATTGACATGTCAGGATACAAATCAGCATGGGTTTGTACCGCAAATAGCCTTTACCCTGCTGCTGAGATTGTTTATCTCTGTCAAGGTTGTATATTGAATAAAATACACATGCACACGTAAATTTCACACGGCGCAGAGAAAATAAGTTTCAAAAATCAAAGACATGACTTCTAATTTGCTCTCCAAGAACAATGTATTAGTATCCACCATTTAAGCAACTTGCAAAGAGACATGGATGTTTGAAAGAACTACTCAATTGTAATGTTGTGACGGTACTAAAGACATGAAATGAATCATTCCTAGAGCTGCGCTATGGCGTATTAAGATAGCTATGAAACAACCTGATCATTGCGTACGGTGCCAATCGACACCTCTCATCTCAACAGGCAACGTCAACGCAGGTTAGTTTTCCTCTTCTGAATTCCCAATCTGCATTTGATTCTTTACAAAAAGATTTCGACATTTTTCCTCAATGTATAATGACCCAGACCCTGACCTAGTGGGCTCCGGGAACAAGAAACTAGACAAAAAGTGAAGCAAACGTACGTAACCAAAGGAAATGTATCTGTGTGACGATTCATACTTCACCGCCATTGGAAACTTGATGCAAACAACAAATTACGAGTGAGATTTCCCGGTTTAAATAATTGGTACACACAGTTGATGTCGAAATGGTGAGGAGAAACAACAACGAGGCAAGAAGTTGTACTTACAGAGGCAGATTTTAGAGCAGACCTCGGAGGTGGCGAATAGCATAGCACAGATAATAGGTAATGAAAAATAGGAAACACGACTTTGGATTCTCGGTAAAAACATCGAACGACGAAAGTTAATGAGAACAGTTTTCAACGGATCGTAAAACAATTGAGATAAAAAAGAAGTGCAAGGAATGCGCGAACCACGAGCGAGAGAAACCAAGGAAAAACATGCTTGTTTTGTTTTTTATGCGAAAAATGTAAACAAAGCTGAATCTCCGATCTCATTGGCTCCCGCCAATCGATGGTGCCGCTTCCTACAAAGTTTATGAATCAACGCGCCAATTTTCAAAAAAGCGGGGAGTCCCCGAAGTGCCCGCAAGACGGAAAACAGACAACGGGTTTTCTGATTTGAACTTCAGTATGCATTCCTTTGTGCGTATGCCGTTTAAATATCTGGAGTGTGGTGAAAGCTGGAATTCAATTGAATGTTGGCCAAGGGAGTCCATGCACTCAATTATTTTGTATTGATACTGTTATTCTTTTTAGAAGCTTTAAAAGTTATCTTGAGATATTAGAACCTTTTAAAATCGATTATTTTGAATTTATTGATCGCAGCGACGCAAATAACATTACTTTACATAAACTCTATTTTAAGGTTGTCCAAGTTTTAGAGAAAACCCAGAATACCCTGCAAGATGGAATATTTCTTTGTCAGTAAACTTCCTCAACTTTAAAATATCGGCTAAATGTTTGTCAATAGCTTTACCTGTGTATCGGAAAAACAAAGTAGCCTTCTCAAAGAGGCAATCTTGAAAAGAAGTGAAGCCTTCACTTCTTCATCCGTGGAGAGTGCGAAACTCCGCAGGCATCTTGTTCACTTGATAATATTGCCGTATCCAATGTGAGTGATTAGGTAAATACGAGTTAACCGCGCAAAATTCATTATTAAGAGAGCTGTTCGATCGCGAAATTATCTCAGAACTTGTGAAGAAAAACTAAAACTTGTATAAATAGCACCATAGAGTAAAGAATTTTTTTTTTGGGGGGGGGGGACACGCTTCCGGATGCTAATTTTTGTTCACAATACTTAAACCGCGTACGGATTATTTTATTTTCGTTACACGCAATGATCAAAAAATTTAAAATCACAACTTCCCCAGGCACACGTGTTCACACCACTATATCGCCAGTTCACGTAATTTTATTTCGCAGCACTTTCACCCCTTAGCACGCGTTACAACTTGTCTTGTGACTCAAACAATCAAGAGCATTTATACACTTGTGAATCACAACGAACGTAGCGAAGACTTCATCGATTGGTGATAGATCGATTTGTAGTAGGCGGAACGTCGATTTTCATTCATGCACCACTAGGTTACTCCGATACACTTCTACCGGTACAATATCCACGATTTTAAAAATAGCTGACTTTTTTTAACAACAACAAAAAACATACAATCTTGCAGGGTCGTTCCAAAAATTAAGGGACTCGATAAAAATAGGATGATGACCGAAAAATAAGGGATCTGAAGGGTTAGAAAATATATCAACACTAGGTGGAAGGGAAGATGTCGTATTCCAGTCGCGCACAGTTTTTCAATCCAGCGTGACGAACTGATACCCCTCGCACAAGATCGAGAAATTGGACTCGGAAAATCGCCCTCAACGACACGGGTCCGTCTGGACCGAGGTACCGAACTGAACTGACGCTGACGCTGGCGGTCGCGGTGCAGTGGCTGGGGCGACCGCCGCCACCGCCGCATCGCGTCGCGGCGCACAGTGGATCGAGTCAATAGCAGAAGTCGGACAAAATTTGGAAACTTTAAACGCTTATAACTCCGTTTACACAAAACTTTGAGGTTCTAAAATTGGTTCCATTGGTTTCGGCGTGAAATTTTCTTCCAAAAGCACCCCTTGAAATGTAAAATGTGACGAAATAAACATCAAAATTCGCAGTTTTAGTCAAAAATTTCATGTCCGACCTCGCCAATTGACTCGATCCACTGTGCGGCGCTGCAAGCTCCAACTTGCGAATGGGAGGGGCGGAGGGGGGTGGGGGGCACCTGTCGCCCTCCAGCCGAGAACTTGCCCTACCTCAACATGTTGTGCATGGTACAAGGGGAGCGTGATCCTCTGCCCCGTTGTTCGCACCGCGTTTCGAGTCTTTTCATGAATGGGTTCGGAATGACGTCATGTTGCGTCGAGACGCGCAATTGGTGAGCTACGGCCGGCGCTCGAGGTGATTCGTCAAGCTCAAGTGACGTGGTCGAACTGGTATTCGATATATCGCATCGATTGTAGGTCAAAAATCTCGGCAGATTTTGAATTTTCAGCAAAAATAAGGACGAAAGCCCCTGCGCATGAGCCTCAAGAAAATTGAACGGAGCGGAACAATTTGAATCTTGGTCTGTTAATCGGGTAAGGTAAGTGAATCGGAGATATGCTCCTTTGCTATACAGGGTGTCTCACGAAAAAGGAGCCACCTTGAATATCTGGCGAACGGGTTGGAATTTCGAAAAACGGTAAAAGACGTGTTCGTTTATATCGAGGGGGACACCTTTTGGCGTATTTGACATTTTCTCAAACCGCGGGGGGGGGGNCGCGTCGCGGCGCACAGTGGATCGAGTCAATAGCAGAAGTCGGACAAAATTTGGAAACTTTAAACGCTTATAACTCCGTTTATACAAAACTTTGAGGTTCTAAAATTGGTTCCATTGGTTTCGGCGTGAAATTTTCTTCCAAAAGCACCCCTTGAAATGTAAAATGTGACGAAATAAACATCAAAATTTGCAGTTTTAATCAAAAATTTCATGTCCGACCTCGCCAATTGACTCGATCCACTGTGCGGCGCTGCAAGCTCCAACTTGCGAATGGGAGGGGCGGAGGGGGGCGGGGGGCACCTGTCGCCCTCCAGCCGAGAACTTGCCCTACCTCAACATGTTGTGCGTGGTACAAGGGGAGCGTGATCCTCTGCCCCGTTGTTCGCACCGCGTTTCGAGTCTTTTCATGAATGGGTTCGGAATGACGTCATGTTGCGTTGAGACGCGCAATCGGTGAGCTACGGCGCTCGAGGTGATTCGTCAAGCTCGAGTGACGTGGTCGAACTGGTATTCGATGTATCGCATCGATTGTAGGTAAAAAATCTCGGCAGATATTGAATTTTTTGCAAAAATAAGGACGAAAGCCCCTGCGCGTGAGCCTCAAGAAAATTGAACGGAGCGGAACAATTTAAATCTAAGGATTCTAAGGTAAGTGAATCGGAGATATGCTCCTTTGCTACATACTATCCAAAAGCGACGAAATGCTCCGTTCCGTTTGTTCCGATTCGTTCCAGTCTTTGCGTGAAGTTTGAGATAAATGTCGATTTTAAAATTTGATTATTATTCGTCCAACTGTTCCCAGCCAGAGGGAGATCGGACCAATGAGAGTCGGGTATTAAAATCTTTTCATTTTTTTTGTCGTTCTTTTGTCAAAGCGCCTGGAGAGCGCGAAGCGCCCTCTGGGAGTTGGGCCGCTTAGCGACCAGGGGGCGTAGCCTCCTGGTAATATTATGCTACTTCATAAGCTTAAACCATCGAAACACGATTCCGTGACCAGCGCGACGAACTGACCCATATTTGGACTTTCTATCCTAAAAGGAACTGTGTGCAAGTGGAAAGATGGGGTGTGCTCGTGGAAGCTGGATAAGAAACAGTATGGTTAGTGGGTACAGTTCCTTTTGAGAAAATGGAAAAGGTGGATTTTCAATTGAATGAAAAGGAACTGAGCGCTAACTCGTGAGCCGTGGGCATGTCATGAGAGCCTTGTGGACAGGGCTCATGAGTTAAAGACCGCCTCCCCGATCGTCGTTTCTCTCATCGTTGCCGCGGACGTCACTGGCGCTTTAAAATCCCCATTCATTTTTATGGCCCGACCACTAACGAGCACACCCCATCTTTCCACTTGCACAAAGTTCCATTTAGCACAAACACGTCCAATTGGGAAATTCAATTTTTCCTACGGAAATTATTCCATTAAAAATTTGAATTAGAAAATATTGCGCACTATAGTGGATGATCAGTAATTGTGTTAATCCAGAAAATCAAAATAACGTACCTTATGAGAAGCTCGTAGCTGTCAATCCTGAAACAGAAAATGGAACGAGCATTATTATTATGCTTTGCAATGAAATGGAGGAGAGAAAGATTGAAGTGAGTTAAGTGACACAGACACTAAAAAAGCTTGCGCAGTAATCTGTCGCAGGTATTCTTGAAAATTGCGTCAAACCTTGAAAAGCGAGTTCAAAGTTGCCTATTATGAGCTTCCACTGAACTTCGCCGAACAAGCTAATAAGGTGGCCGGGCTGGTGGCATCCATAACATCCTTGCCGCCGCGATTTCTTTCTCGACTGTGCATCCCTTCTGCCGAGATTGCAGTCGGTGCAGCCGTCATCATTGCACGGCTACACGAACCATGGATTGCGAGAGAGGAATCGCTTGGTGAAAAAGAGATCGCAGAGGTAGGGATATTTTCGGTTGCCATCTTGCCATTCTCGGCGATGCGCGTTGAAATGGAAGCACAAAGTACGCGACATTGAACTTGTTTTATGAGGATCAATATTGCTCCAGAAAAATTCTTGTAAACGTAGTGCCTCCTGTATTTTTCAAAAAGAGCAAAAACAGAGCCAGATTTAAGTTTTTGCTGCCTCCTCTCCCTCCGAGGTATATGATGCAATATCTTAAGGTGATTCGACAGACGCCATTTTTGTGTCAGAGCGACGTGTGATTTATCGCATCGATTCGTTCCATAATTTCGGCTACTTGTCATTTCTTTCGAATCTTGAGATCGCACTCCAGTTGTTATGAAACGAAAGAATTCATGTACCAAATTTGACGAAGAAATTCAACGCAATAAAGGCGTGGTTTTTTCAGAGGAAGAATATCGCATTCGATACTGATATCGAAACTACACTCGAATGCTATATTTTCTCTCTAAAAAACCACACCAATATTACGTTGAATTTGTTTGTCAAAATTGGTAAAGGAAGTCTTTAGTCTTCTGACAACAGAATTGAGATCTCAAAAATTCGAGAAAAATGACGAGTAACTGGAAAATAGAACCAATCGATGCGATATATCGCATGTCGTTTCGACACAACACATGGCGTACATAGAATCACCTTTAAGGAGGACGCGACACGCACGCACGAATTGTGCGTTTCGGAAACACGGCAAAAGTGTAATCTGCGTAATCTGATTGTGCATTAGTAAGAAGGATGCGCATTTGTGCAGAAAAATGTTGCAAACAAATATGGGAGAATTATTTTCATTTAGGAAGGGGAAACGATTCTTCGAGGATGAGGATCCGTGACACGAAAAAGGCGAAACTGAAACGATCAATGGGAAACGCTAAATGAAACATGACAAAAAATCATATGATATGTCGATGCTATATTAAGAAAACACTCATTTACGTTGCTTTGTTTCAGAATTGCCGTGTCTATTTTACTTTTTTAAAGAGAAACAAGCCAAATTTATGGCCTAGATGCACACGGCGATTCGCCGGGATTGAAAGACGAAAACCAATGGAGAGCCTTGATTCCGATCCATTGACGTCGATGTATCGAAATCAAGGCTCTCCATTGGCTTTCGTCTTTCAATCGCGGCGATAATCGCCGTGTGTATCAAGGCTTTTAGCTGGGGTTAAGCTGCCTGTCTAGGGAACACTAACGCTGTATGACGCCCCTGGCGGTTATAACGATTTCCGAAAAGGCATGATGGGGTCTCCAGGATCTACTGCGCGAGCGTTGTAACACAGAGTCAAGTTTTCGCTTTTCAAGAAGGCAAGTTTTCGCGACGGCACATTCGTCCCACGACAAAATTGAATATTATACATGGGTGACACAGCCTAAGGTTCTCCTTCAATTTCGGCTGACACCGCATACATACTCCGGAGTTCGAATAGTTGCTCGCTTCCAGGGTGTCTAAGTAAACAGGCTGGTCAAAAGCAGTTGCTGTCCTCTTAGTGCATTCCCAAGAAATCCAGTACCTCCTGAAAAAGTATTCAGTATTTTAACTTTCTCGCTACCCTAGGGTAGAGAAAGTATTTTTCAGTTGGTACCTCCATTTGAAGAAATTCTCGCTCGAATCGCGCCAAAATGATACATAAAACTTCGTTAATGCACACTGGAAAAAAAGTTGCGGGATATGTGAACATACCGTCAGCGTACCGGGCTCATAGACCGAAAGTTCCGGGTGCTGGAGCCGTAGCTTCAACAACTCAAGGTGCTAACCCTGGAACTTTTGGTCTCTGAGCCCGGAACGCGAACGGTATGTCTACATAGCCCGTAAGCACGGCTTCCACGGCCGGAGTTTTTGGTCAGTGATGGCTTGAGGAACTCCGCAGTCTAAAATCTTGCAGGCAGATACAACTCTAAGAATCAACGCGCAGGGTATTGCATACTTTCCAAGCTTTATTAAAAAACACGCGTGGCATGAAGAAAAAAGTTCCGGACCTTCTTGCGGAATTTCCACAATCCACACTTCTTCAGTACTTCCGGCACGCCCCTTAAAAAATCCAGACCAGTAGACGCACCCTGCTCACCGGGCGATAGCCCTGAAATGGTGCTATTTCCTCTGGCCGAATATACGGGAATCTTACGACCACCGCGATGAGGAAGAAGCTCGTCGCTAACTTGAACAAGCCATTAGGAGAAATTGAACATTGACTGAAATTGCGAATATTTTTATGTTAATTCCGTCCATTAGAAGGACGTTATTCTATCGCCCATTAGATTTGTACTCTATCAGATGTGATTTTTTTTGGGTGATACAGTAGTGAATAACATGTTAGACGATCAAAAGTGGCGAATTTTCGATTCAGCTCTCCCCTCCCACCGAGGGGAACGAAGGGTTGTGAGGATTCGCACCTTCACTGCCACATGATCACACCACATACTGATACCAGATTTCAGATGCGTACCTGGGTCATTTTGCTTGGGGGGGGGGCGAAGGCCCCCCTACCACCGTAAGGTCTCTCTCGGCAATTTTTTGAAATTTTAACGCTATTGGGACGGGTTTCGAGGCTTCCGTGACACAGATTATCCATCAATTTCTGCGGAAAAATTACGCTTATTTTTTAACTATTGGCATACGGTACTTTCGAACTGTCGCATTCAACACATCTAGAAAATATTTGAAATTTCAACTCCATTCGGACGGATTTTGAGGTCTCCACGATGAAAACTTTAACAGAATGAACACGGTGTTTTTACAACACAAGTGGAATGGAACGCCAATATTTCCCCTCATTTCCGCGTGATACCACATCACGTACCTACTCCGCGGAGTCCGAAAGGAGGAGTTTCCTTCAAAGCGGCGTGATACCACATCACATACCAACGCCGCTGTACCAGTAATTCCGCGCTTGATTTCAGATTGGGTCTGTTGCACGCTTGCACGCAAAAGATATAGCCAACTGAATACTCTTTGTAAAGCGTCCAGCCCACTTACAAACTAGAGGCTTCAAAGAGACTCATCGATTGCCCCGACTTAAACCGTTGGCCAATGAGAGGGCCAGGAAAGGCATCGATGAACCTCTTTGAAGCCTCTAGTTTGTACACTGGAAAAAAAACACATTGGATCTAGAGTCCAGACTCTTGAAAACATTGACAAGAAAAAATACTATTGATTCCATCGGATTTTTGCTTGAATTAGAACGAAATCCGCTTAAATCAAGAGGCTTGGTTCTTGATTTAAGCAAGATTCTGATTGAATCAATGTCGATGTTTTTAAGAGTCTGGACTCTAAATCCAATGTGTTTCTTTTCCCAGTGTAAGTAGGCTGGACGCTTAAGAGTAAAGTTAATCGAAAATCACGTTGGGCACATCAAAAAAGTCTGAAATCTGCATGTAGTTTGTAACACTCATTTTCAAGTTTCCCGCGTCCGCAGGCAGTTTTTCTCAGTCGCCGCCGACCAAGCTTGCAGAGGCAGAGGAGTAAGAAAGAACTACTCAAAATAAACAAACGAAGAGCTAAGTTTTTATTTATTTTTTATTTATTTTTCAAGCGTTTGCTTCCTTTTTCTTTCTTTATTTTGCAAAAAGAAAAGCTTTGAATCAATAAAAATCTTCCGCAAGGAGGTCTCTCCTCGGGCAACCTGACTGCCAGCGACCAAGAAAAACTGCCCGCATACGCAATAAATTTGACAATAAATAGTGGATTTCAGACTTTTTTGATGAGCCCAAGGTGATTTTCGAGCGAATTTTCTCTTACAAAGTGTGTTCAATTGGCTGTATCTCTTGCTTGCTTGCAACAATCCAATTTAACGTTGTAGTAGTAGTTCACCTCCCCCCTCCCCCTAAAATAAAAAAAAAGTCAGAAAATTGTGAAAAAATGGAACGCCAACAATTTCCTTCATTTTCGCGCGATACCACATCACGTACCCACTCCGCCGTCCGAGAGGAGAGGAGGAGTGTTCGCGGAGGATGAAAAGTTACGAATGATGATAATTTTAAGGATAATCGTGTTTTTCACCGACTATCTCCGTGCAAATAATCGTTCGGATGATATTAAATCTGAAACTTAACCTATACTTCATCGACCACCTTCGCGTCGTGACAATGATAATGCATTTTTGTTTCATCAGTGACGCCTTTCCGCGCCTACCGTATCACGCGGAGTTTAAGAATGATACAAATGAGTCAGTTGCCTTAGTCACGGAATCGTATGTTGATAGTTTAAGCTTATTAGCAAAGAGTAAACTACGTTAAGATCTTTTCGAACACATTATTTCTTCGTTCATTATTAACGGAGATATTGCCTATCGGAAAATAAGGTGTATGACGTCTTGTACCGTGTTGCTGCATATCATGGTTTCTTTCCCCTTAATTTCATCAAGCAGTGATATTCATACAAAGAACTGGTTACTGTCTTTTTTTTCCTCGCAATCTATTTAACTTCTATAATGTTTTAAGACTGTAACTTCGTAGGTACTCTAGAGTATCGCCTTGGCTTATCTTTTCCTTTGAGAACTGATTATGAGCGCAAGCCGCCCGATTTCAGACAGAGAGACGTCTGGGCGTCTCGTCTGTTACCCCTTCCTCTAAGACCGCAAGAACCCTGCTCGCATTCACATTTTCTCTGCACGCCGCTCGGTTTTGTGAGCATGATACATTCGGTGAGGCCTGGACTATCATCTGCATGCGAACTGTGGTGTTAACTTGAATGACATGGTGTGCTGCAGACTTTTCGTTTTATTTGAGAGAGAGAGAGAGAGAGAGAGCTTGCACACTCTAGTTTTGGGCAGGGCCAGATTTACATTTTTAGCGCACTAGGCTAAACTTAGGGTGGGTGGCGCCCCTAAAAGTAGGCGCTCCCGTGGGGGGGGGGTTGTCCCCAGGGAGCCCCTCCCTTCCAGATCAGAAGGAGGATGTTAGGTATCAAGAAAATGTTCAAATTCACCTTTCAAAAAACACAATTTTAAACAGTTTTGAGGTACGTTTACGTTTGCAAGTTGGTTTTGGAAAATGGAAAGTAACAAAAGACTCGTTAAATTAAAAAAAAAAAAAAAAATTCTCAAAGATTTTGCGCCCTTTAGAATGTTGCGCCCTAGGCTACAGCCTATGTAGCCTATTGGTAAATCCGGCCCTGGTTGTGGGTCACTTGGCCTCAGCTCAGTCGTGTCAGCAAACTGCCACCGCATAGTAAACAATAGTAAAGGGGGTACTCAGAATTTAAACTTCCCGCTCTGAATCCGTACTTCCGATCTATAATCTTTGCTCCCGCCCGATCCCTGCCTATCAAAATCCAATTATGTCCAATTCCAATCCGATGTGCAGCACCGTCCCTTCGATTAAAATTTAGATAAGATTTTGGGCTTCTGTGCGTCTTTAATTATCGCTCATACTTTACTTCAGTTCGTTGTTAGTTTTAACCACATGACTTTAAAGAATTTCCGTTTATTAGTGGTAAAATAATTTAGTTTGCACTTGTGATCACATAGTAACCTAACCTTAAAAACCGAGAAGTTGCTGATCGCAGAACTGTAAATTCGGTACCTAAAATTTCGTGTTTTGTTGTAAATGATAAGAATGTCGTCTAATCACGAGCTCAGGCTCTGAACTGTGGATCTTTCTTTATTAATTTATCTTAAATTTTTAAGTTGTCACTCAAGAACTAAAGTTTTGCTCTCCCTACCAAGATTTATCTAATTATGATTGATCAGTAGCCCTGTTGCCTACCACCCTATCTATTCAGATTGTTTAAATCATTCCCTGCCAATTTCTCTTGTGGCTGTTCATTTTCCGATTCTGTTGAAGTACTAGTCCTGTTTTCTTATAATCTATTTGCTGTTAAATTCCTCAATTATGGCCGATAGCGCTAGTGAGAGTGATTCGAGCTCCATCGATGGTGGTCCTATAATGATGCCTCCATCCCCAATCACCAGAGATCAACTGCAGAAGAGGATTGAATCATTACAACAGCAAAATAGAGTGTGCAAAGTTGAGCTGGAGACGTATAAATTGAAAATTAAAGCCTTGCAAGAAGAAAACAAAAATTTGCGGCAAGCTTCAGTAACCATCGTAAGTATGGACCTCAAGACTATCTATTTTTGCAAGCATTTTTTCTCTAGTAAGTCAGTGGACTTTCAAAACGAGAAAAATAACTTGATAAAATTGTAAGTTCTCATTTTTGCACTGAAACAAAATCCTAGCTTCAAAATGTTGGGTCTACCCTCCAACTGATAAAATCTACCAATTTATGTCACAGGAACTTCATGATCTCATTTGAAAATTTCAAAATCAAAGTAACGTATTTCAATACAACCATCTTGCAAACAAATGTGCTGTTTGGTGTTTGATCTGATTTTTCCTTAAAATTCATGAATGAAATCTAGTGGTCTCTCGAAGAAAAGTGAACAACCAACTTCAAAACTGTTCAAAGATGTCGGCAAAGTGTTTGTGCATGGTAGGCATGAAAGTGACTGTTCAAGGCCATTTCTAAACACAACTACTTGATGCTAAATGATCAGCATTGTTCAATTCTGCTCGAATCAATCAGTGACTTATGTGTTTACCTATTGATTCTTAAGATTCTTTCCTACCAGACATTCACCGATCTCCATAGGTCTTTTGGACTGCTTGAGTCTGTATGATCTTAAATGCATGCATACCTTGGCACCTGAGCTGTTAATTAGACATATTTCTGCTAAATGGAACCAGAGACAGGTGGGAAAGAAGGGGTGTGCTCGTTATTTGGGGGCCGGAAGAATGAGTGGGAATTTTAAAGTGCCAGCGACATCACACGACAAGGCCCGCGTCTGCATGAACTCATGACCCCTGTTCTTATTGCTCTTTTCCTATGCCCATGGCTCATGAGTGCCGCGATGAGAGAATCACGCCCACTTTTACATTGCTTCTTGTGCAGCTTTCTAGAACACACCCCATCTTTCCCACTTGCAAAGGTTTTTTTAACAGGAATAAGTCCATTTGACAATGAGCCAGTCTGGAAGAAAGATGAGAAAACAAAACGAAAGATTTTTTTCTTGAGATCACATTGGTGCTTCGCTGAACTTGGCTACTAGATGATCATAATTGCTTTTTGTTTAGTATTAAAGAAGATTAAAACACTGCTGTTGAAAGGATTTTTTTTTTGTTTCTCTCTTTTTCTTCGTGTACCTATGTCTGAAATAAACTACTAATTTATAGGGCTACATCTTTGAAGACAAGATGATAATATTTGCCTCGGATCATGGTGAGCACACATAATAGCCATTTTGTAGTTAAACCCATTACTTAGGTTACTTAAATCATTAGGAATCAAATCATACAACTAAAGGAGACAAAAGTTCGAGAGAACTCAAAGAATATTCAACCCAATCTTTTAAACTTTTGAATAAAGTTGATTAAAGTCTTAAGAAAAGCTAAACTGATCTCCGGAAGATACAGCAGTTTATAATCTTTATTCCCCTCATTGTTTTTCCAGCAAGCTAAGGCTGAACAAGAAGAAGAATATATCAGCAACACACTATTGAAAAAAATTCAAGCATTGAAAAAAGAAAAAGTGACACTTGCTCATCACTACGAGCAAGAAGAGGAGTGCCTAACCAATGATCTTTCAAGAAAGTTAACACAGGTTTGCAATAATTATTTTCATTGTGTTTAAAATGTGTCTTTTTATTTTTATTCGATACGTCTCATTTTTATCCAGTACGTATCCATCTGGTTTCTGGTTGACCCTATCTCTTTGCTGTTCCACACTTAGTGTACGAACAAAATAATGGAACTTTGTGTGGAAAATTGGACTGCCAATTCTTTTGATTTCATCCATGTCAGTCAAAGAGACCTATTTATAAATCTAGGTTCATTATTTCCTGATTTTTTATTTCTTGATTTTTCTCAACTTCCGAGTCTTGTCTATTCTTGGAACTTGCGTTATCTTTCAAATTTCTGTTGTCAATCATGAGATTAATTCCATGAAGGACTTAAGAACTTCTTGTTACCTCTAATTTGGCAGCAAGGTTGTGCGAGAAATTCCCTTTGATGCATAATGCATATGCGCCCCTAGTGAATTGTCAATTGTTGAAAGACTGAAATATTTGCCTGTGGTTCAGAAGAGCTTTTGACCCAATTTTAATGATAGTAAGTGTAGGGTATGTAATTTACTCCCATTTTGAATTATGAATGCTATGCTGACCCTACCCCAATTTGTCCTAACCCATGCTATTAAGGTGATTCGTCCTGGATTCTGGTATGTTCGAACTAGTGTGCAATGTATATATTAATTAAGGAAAAAATCTCAAAAGATTTTGAAGTTTTAGGCAAAAAGGATGATAGCCCCTGCTCATGAGCTTAAATAATTTTCTTCAACCAAAACTTCTAAAATTCAGAAATATAAAGGCAGGATTTTCTTTTGAAAAAACCTTGCATTCTATACAAAAGTCGATCACTGTATTGTATATACATGGTTTTCTTCTGAAAATAATCCTGCTCTCAATTCTTTGAATTTTGCTAATTTTTTTGTTGAGAATGATTATCTCTCGGCACATGTGCAGTATCGAGCAGGGGCTATTATCCTATTGTTTTGCAAATAAGTTAAAATCTGCCGTGATTTTTCCTCTATCAATACAATGTATTGCATGCCAGTTGGACTGCGCCAGAATCCGAGACAAATCACCCAAAATGCCAATCAAGAGTGTGGTAAATGCCCAATCTCGCGATCCGCAAATCATGGCAAACTAGAGGCAAATCTGGGGCCGTGAAGCAATTTTCTAAAATGATCACTATTTTTCTATTCTCTCTTTCTCTGTTAGCTCTCCTCTCGATTATTCTGAAAAAGAAAGAAGTGAATTTCACATTTTCCTCAAGGCTAATTGGAAATTTTTCATTGAGGCTAAACCACCAGATTTTAAGGAACAATTGACATGTTGGACCTTTTTACACTTGTCGTGCTAGAAAATAATTTCAAAACATATTTTAATGTAAGAAGACTATATACACCTTGACCAGACTGCTGATATATCATGATGGTCAAAGAAATCAAATGAGCTGCTTAGCTGAGAAATTCTGCCGTCACTTTCATACCCCAAAGGTCCTTTCAGGGTATATTTAATTTTTTTTAAATCTAGGAGAGGTATACCTAATCCTCTAGTACAAGTATAAGATGTAACAAGCATACTTGAGGGACCATTCAAGGAAAGGGCAAATGTCCATCAGTGTTGCTCAGATTGTCCTACTTAGCTGTCCTTTTACTCCCATTTAAATTTACTGAACCTTGCACTGAGTTTTAGGCTAAAACCTCCCAAAAGTCGAATAATTTAGACGGCGATCAAATAAAATTAAAATCCTGTGATTGACTTTGTAACGCTGCAGAATTGCAGCAGCAATAAATGCGCAAGTGCCTCTTAATGGAATAGTCCTTCTTTTGTCATCTCTACATAATTATTTACTGTTTTAATTTATATGGAATCATTTTACACAATTTCTCAATTAATTAAAAAATAAGTAAGTTCGTGATACTTTGTATGTTTTAGCTGCGTCAAGAAAAGTGTCGTTTAGAACAGACCCTAGAGCAAGAGCAAGAATGTCTTGTAAACAAATTAATGCGGAAAATTGAAAAACTAGAAGCTGAGACGTTGGGCAAGCAAAAAAATTTGGAGCAACTGCGAAGAGAAAAAGTAGAATTGGAAAATACTTTAGAACAGGAACAGGAAGCTTTAGTAAACAAGCTTTGGAAACGAATGGATAAACTTGAAACAGAAAAAAGGTGAGTCATGGATTACGAGAGCTGCATTCTCTTCTACAGTTTCATACTATAACAACAGCAGGTCAAATGTATTTGACCAAGTGAAAATCCAAGTCTAGAGAAAAACGGAAATAAGTGTGTCATTTGGCGTTTGATGTCCGCAAAAAGTTGCTTTCAAGGTGTAATTGAAGGATATTTTTCAGATAACATAGTATATCTAAGCACTGCACCACTACACTAGTGATGAAAATATTGTTTTGCATCAGTATCTTCCAGAAAAATTAAATTACATTGTATATTTAATGGATTTCCATCACTTTTCTGAAGAACCCTGGCATTTTTAAAATTTTCTGGCTTTTTCTCGAGCAGTCTTCAGCTTTTCTCCTGGCAACCCTGTAACTATAAAAGGAAATTAAACACCGAGGATAATTTTCTCACCTCAATGTTAATGGCACATGTTTAATGTTTATTAGTTTCATGAGAACCAGCGTAATTTGACAACTTTAAATGCTGTTTTCTTAAATTACAAAAACGTCGCGCAACTTTCTCATGCACGATACCATACGATACATTGATTCATCTTTTCGTACTTGAAATGTCTTTTAATTTTCTTATTTTGAATTCCAGGATGTTACAAATTAAACTAGACCAACCAGTTACAGATCCTGCCCCTGTAAAGGAAATCAGTAACGGTGATACTGCCTCTAATCTTAGTCATCATATTCAAACCCTCCGATGTGAAGTTACTCAGCTCAAAAAACAACTTCAAAATGCTCAACAAGAACGTGAGTGTTAACTTTTTGTTTTGTCCGCATCATTTTTCAGCCATTCACTGATTTGACAATTTGATTGTTGCTCTTCTCTTTTAACACATTTGTGCACGAGCATTTTTTCTGCCGGACAAGCCTAGAAGTACAAATTACCAGGATGGCAACAGAAAACTCTTGATCAGGTTTTAGAAAAAAGTTGTTAGTGCTGCCTATCCGAAAATCGGATGTTATCTTCATCAGTTGCAGAAGTTTTGATGTTAGACCTTGTTATAACTTCCTCGTTTCAAAATTATTTCATACCATTGACAGACAATATAAGTAGATAATTGCATGACAGATTATAGAGTAATCTGTTGAACGACTTGAGTAACGGAGCATCAAGAAAAATGTCACAGACCCAAATTATGGCAGTGATTATGTACCATTTTCAAAAGGATTCTCAAAGGTTACCATTTTGAAAGAATATTTGTTTCTCATCACAACCTTGAACTGAATGCCTTGCAGATTATAAATGCATGCTAAGTATCAACATTAAAACAAGTGTTACTGACACCTTGCACTTGCGGTGTGAGCAAAAATTTCAAAAATTATTTTACTTATTGATAAAAATTTTACATTTTTAGCTGGAAGTTTTCTTAACAATCCGGCTGAAATTGATTCTAAATTTTATTGCTCTAAATGAAAATGAATCCGCAGATTTTTCTGAAGGTGCTGTATTTCTTGGATTGCTTCGGTGTTAGGAATTTTTGTAGGAACTGCTAATGGATATCTGTCGGTTCTCCTGTGCTAATCCTTGAATTTCTTTCTAGATACTGAAAAAATGGAGCAGTTTGTAAAGGAAGAGCGTCAAATTAAAGAAGAGAATTTGAGACTTCATAGAAAACTGCAGCTCGAAGTGGAAAGAAGAGAAGCATTATGTAAACATTTGTCTGAATCTGAAAGCAGGTATTTAAAAAAATTAATTCTTTGACTGTACAATTACTAAATTTTATATTGAATATTTGTTTGTTTGGCAACCAATGCCCACTGTAGGGCATGTACACATAGAATCCAGCCTGGTAATGATAGGTTAACGATACCTCATTTTGTGGATTTTTATAAGAATAGAGGAAAAATTTTTAAAAGGAAAGTTAGATGGTAGCATTCCAATTTTTATTTTAATGTAAATTTTTTCAGCATCCTATTTTTATTTTTATTTTTGTTTTTTCTTCATTTTCTGACCCGAAATAGGTTTTATCACTGATCACATCGTCTAATTATCATTTTCATGAATTAACTCATCGGAAACATAAATTGATGCCTTAAGGGCCTGACACTTGAAAATTGAAAAAAAATGTTTTTTTATTTTCTGACTAATCTTAACCTCCTATTCCTCACTTTTAATTTCAGACCAAGTTTTACTTGATCTGACGAGTAGTTTTGAAGTTACGCGCGGTTTAGTGAGGGAAGGTTTACTAAATACACTACTAATTACACTAAAACTGATTTTGCTGTTTTTTTTAATTCCTCATTTCCCGAAAACTACATTTTTCAGCACTCACGTACCTTTTTCTCAGGATCTACTGAATCGATTTTCAAAAACTTTGTTTTGTTCTAATCCTTGCACTCCTGCACACTTTAACACAAGCTTTTCCAAAATTTCGAGCTGGATTTTTTTTAATTTGATTTCAACTGTCCTAATTCTTTGATTTCTAACAAAAAAATTTCAAAAATTCACCAAAATTTCAAATTTTTAAATTTTAATAATAGCCCGTGTTAAAATGTTCAGGAGGGTTCAAAGTTCAAAACAAAAAGAAGAGAAGTAATTTTTGTTCAGTAGATCCTGAGAAAAAGGTACAAACGTTAACATTGGGAAGATAGGGTGTCTGGCTCCCCTTAAGTTTTCAAATGATATGTCTAAATTCACTTATAATTGATTGTTGGTAATGTTTTGCTATTTGATGCTTTTCAGCTTAGAGATGGATGAAGAAAGACTCTTCAATGAAATGGCTGTATCTGGTAGCATTCGTTCTCGCACTACTTCCAGCCCAATTCCATATCCATCCCCATCCTCTTCTAGACCTTTATCCCCAGGAGGTAAGATCACACTTCTTGTTCATCTCTGCCAGCTGTTTGTTGAAATTGATGGACAAAACTATAGATAAAGAATACTTAGGGAGTATGGAGCAATCCTATTCGTTGAAATGGTTGGTTCTTTTAGACTAAGGGGGTAAATGATGGACTAACTACAGGGTCTCTCGTGAGTTGCCGTTAGTTAGTCTATTACCTACCTCCTATGTTTTGTGTTATGCAACCACCCGCTTCCACCAATAGGATCCCTCTATATCCCTGTTGTCCCCTTTGTCTATAGCTTTGTCTATCAATTTCAACAATTGGTCTGCTGAGTTTCGCATGAAGGTCACGACTGATAAATTAAAGTAGTCCATTGGTCAGTTTGGCTTTGGTCAGAAAAATGATGTGTATAAGGTGAAAAAATAAAACTCAGAAATCAATGAAAGTTGTAAAAGTTTCACAAATAGTTAGTCAGGGATTTATCAGGATGAATTGACTAATTTTATTAAAAAAATTGTAAGGAGTAAAGCCGAATTTTGGGTGAGTAGGGTAGTCGAAGGCAATGGTCCCCATTTTTTATCAGTATTTTGTGTTAATGAGCATCAAAAACAGGTCAAATTTATCAGCTACCATCGTTTGGCAGATGGTTGACTGGACTCTACTTTAACAACGACTGAAGTAAATTTTTCCTGCCACAAGAATTGAATTTTCCAGAATTCTTTGCGCTTGAAATTTCCAAAATTTATGAAAAAATTGTCCAAAGTGGCAAACAGCTTATAGCTGACCATAGTTACTTTGATGATGACCTTTTTTGTGGTAATATAGCATCTGATCAATGATCAACCAGTTCTCTTAGTCTTTTACCTGCAATGATGGTATATTCTGTTATAGTACCATGCAACCAAAGTGCTAACAATCAACGTATTATGTGTAATTATTTTATTTTACCTCTCAATTTTTCAACCCTTGAATTTTTTATTTCAGCTGGAAACACAGCACCTCGTGATGGAGCAAGTTTGACAGTCAACCCTCAACGTTGCTACGCCTGTAGTCAAATTATTCCAGCTCATTTTTCTCTTTCTGATACTTCACCTCCTCTCTCCTTTACGGTGAGTGGAAATAACCAACGTCAACAGTTTTAAAGTTTTATCACCAAGTGCTTTTATAATGTCCGCATAATTTTTTCTCTCAATTTTTTTTAAAATTTCACTGCCGTGTTGATAGACATACTGGCATAATATGAGGACGATCAGTCCAAAAATAATTGTTTCCTTAATTTGACAGTTTTGTCCAAAATTAGCGGAAGTGCAGTTAACATTTTCTTCCATTTTTTGTTAAGTAACTGAAGGACATAGTGCATTAAAACATTTTATGATGTGCTTTGCATTGCATCAAGAATAGCTTGGAACAAAATAGAATGCGCTTACAGTAAGTCAAGTTTTGGCAGTGCTGGTTACAGGATATTTTGCATGCAGCCGCTGAACATGCAAAAGGGACTTCTGTCAGATTTTCTCGTTCAATGTGTAGGAACGTTTCTTAAAATTTATTTTTCATTTTTGGAACACATCAATAGTGAAACTACAGAATAGGTATATGTATCTTAGTTTGCAATATTGCAGACTTTTTCATATACTACATTTTCTACCTGCAAGACTATTAATCGTCATTTCTCGAAAACTTGGATGATTTTCCCTCTTCATAAGAATATTCTGTGAAAATGTCAAGCCATGTTGTTGGTCCAGCGTCCTTTTAAATAATAAAATAGGCGTGGAGATTTTGAAACACCATAACCGACATACAAATCGCAGTTTCATTGTCGATATGCATATTTTATTTCGCACATATTTCTTTCTCATGTGAAACCATTAATGTCAAACTTTTTTCCAGCAGATGCATCCAAGGCCTGGTCAGCGTAATTCCGAAAGATTTGTTAAACCAGCTATTCCTATGTCAGTTGGTGGCGCCACTCCACCCCCTCCATGCACAGGCTCACCCAGCAACCCTGGCTCTCCCATGGATATCAGTAAATTTTAAGATAGGTTGCGTTTAATTCTGTTTGTGTCATGATCACATCTTCTTGGTGTTAATTTGATGTTATTCTAAGAATATCTAACTGTCTTTCAAAGTGAAAAAACGAAAAAATGGTAATATAAGGATAACACTCTTTACATATTCTCCACCTCTACTGTGAACATTAGAAGTACTTGTTAAGGCTGTTTCATTTTCTTTCTCTCTTTTTTTTATCTCTGCATTGTAATTTTCTTTGTTATTTTCCTCCTTGAATAAATTGAAGTTTAAACATTACAGTTCATGTTCTCTTCGGTTTTTTTGGCATTATGAAACACTGGTGTGCAAAAACCTCCAGACCATGCGACCGGATGGGTGGAGGTTGGTCTTGTGCAAGAATGAAAGGACTGGGAAGACTGACTTTTAAAATGTGGAAGCTGGCAAAACTGCATTTTTGTTCTTTTTTTTTTCATTAACGTGGTAAAAATCATGTTTTTCTTAAAATCACGATAAAAATCTTGTGTTATTCAGAAAACTGAGGCATTGTATACAGACACAGCTATGTTTTTTATTGAGTGATTTTCATAGCCATTAAAAGGTCATCTTTTACATATTTTTAAGGAAAAAGTTTTTAAATTAAAAAGGCAGATTTAAAAAAAGGGAGGGCCAGGAATTTTCTGCATCTGTGGTATGAAAGGTAACAGGAATGAAAGAACAAAAGCATCATGTATAATAACAGTAACATTTTGCAAGATATATTAGTATAATGTAAGAAATATAAACCAGAACTGAGCATTACAACTAAGTTTTGACGAGCCTTTTCATTCATATGTCGATTTAAGTCTTGGAACAATTTATTCAATATCAATACATTTCATATGAAAAAAATATTAATTAATACACATTACAGAATTTCTTTTCAAGCTTTTAAAAAATCAAGTAAAAATACTGAAATTCATGTTTCAGATATTCCTAATACCTCCCCCTCTAACAACATTTTTCTTCTTTTCAATGATTCTAGCTTCTCTGTGCTATGTACAAGTGAAGAAGAAAAAAACAACCTAATATAACAATTAACAGAAGAGAATAAAAATTGATGTAAAAAATGTCATTTTTTTTTTTTTTTTTTGCAGACGGATTTTTCTTCGAGCTGAAATACTTAACACTCATTCCATACTGAGCCCAACATGTTTATTTCGATAGACTAAATAACAACCAAAAAAGTTTCAGAAAAAGAACCGGTGTATAATTATGATTTAACTACATATGAGGGGGAATATGAGTTCTTTACTTCAAGCAGGGTAAAAACCCTGCTTGAAGTTGCCGTACCCTGCTGTTTGTTGCAAACCGTCATTTTCTAGGAAAAAAAATGTAACTTTGTTACAGGATTGCAAATGGAAACCAAAAATTCAATTTCTTACACGAATATGCCTGCGCAATTTTTGCCCAATTTTTTTTTTTATTTTTGTACAGGAAGAGAGAGAGAAAAAAATCTGTAAAATTTTTGTGTAGAATGCTCAACAATTTTCTGATAAAAAAGAAAATTGCGAGTGAAAATGTTGTAAAACTGGAAAATAATTATGTCGTTTCGTGGAGGAGATGACAAAATGTGTGGAAATTTCTACTTTGGAACTTCATAGCAATTTAAACACAGAAGTTATTTTTATCAGGCCAGTTGATAATGTCAAACTGTTGACTTTTAACTGAGGGATCATTTAAAATGGATTAGTAAGGAAAAGAACATTTTGAAGATATCATACATTAAAAAGAATATTCATGATTGCCAATTTACAAATCCTTTAAATAGTGACCTTTCATTAGACAAGGAAGAGAGTCGACAAAATGGGTATCAGAGAAATACAAAATTTGAAAATAAGCTAGATTTCTTCTTACAGTAAGCCAAAATCCTAACAAGTAATTTTGGAGTTCTGAGAAGAAAGAGGCAATATTGCAAAGAGGAAAATTTTAAAATACCTAAATGGGTTAAACTTTGAGGAGGAAAATCCTGCTGACTCACATCTCTGATGCATACAAACAATTCTCCATAAAAAAAAATCACACTAGATTTTCCAGCGGGATTTTGATTTACCTGTACAAAATTTAAAAATACTTTACAAAACACGAATCTCCTAATTTCGCATTTCAAGTTATTTACAGTCGCTTAAAAAGGAAGAGGCACCTACAGTACTAACCAACAGAATCCAAATAATCTGAAAGTTGTACAAAATAGGTACATGATAAAGATAAATAAAACTTTAAACGAACTAACTGAAAAGAAAACGAGGTAAGTTTAAATGATAATTTGATATCTAATAAATTACAAGTAAACAAATTGATAACAAAGTTATTCTGTTTGGACACAATCCAATTAGAAATAAAATCCTACAACCTTCCCTTATTTCCCCTAATACTAATCCGAACCTTAAATTTCACGAATCGCTAAATTTGAATGATCGGGTGAAATTCAGCACCAAACAAGATTTCATGAGCAAGTGAATACTTTCAAGGATAAAAAAAGTAGGAAGGGAATTGTAAATTACTTAGGAGAATCAATAGAACTAAGGCCATGACCGATTCTGGAATCCCAAACTCACAGGAACCTGGAATTGAAAAATTATAAATTAATGCATGAGGAAAGATTCAGAGTCTTAGGGGCTATTCATACAATACCTACCCAAGTAGCATGGATTGCAATTTCATTGCAATGGATTGTGAGTTGATTGCAATTTTTGCTTGTTGCCTATACGTTCATTTGAAGGCGCTTAAAAAGTTGAAATTTTATTGCAATAAGTTTGCAAGAAATGTAGATTATGCTTGTTGCCTAACCTTCTTTTTCAAGGCACTATAAGGACTGCAATTTCGGTGCAATCATGTTGTAACAAATTCACGCCATGTGCCTGGCATCCAATTCTCTAGTTGTTTTAAAGTTTTTTCGACTTTAATGTCTCACCTAACCCATATAGCCCAACATATTTTGAAAATATTGTCACCTTTATCAAAATATTTTCATGGCAATATTGTAATTAAAATATTTTCAAAATATTTTTAAAACATTTTAAAGGAATATTTTGAAAATGTTTACAAAAAATATTTTTAAAATAATTCAAAAATATTGCCTGTAAACATGCATGTTAAAAATATTCCTTAAGAAAGTTTTGAAAATACTTTAAAAATATTTTTTGAAAATATTTTTAAGTTCTCAAGTTAGTATGTGGTGTGATTTACACCGGTGTAAATTTAGTGTGAGTACCTATTACGTGATATCGAAAAAAAAAATCAGACAAAAAAAATATGAAAAAATAAATAACACGAAAAAAAATAAATAATAGGCAAAAGAAAGAAGCCTGAGAAAAACGGCGTTAATCAAATCTATGATGAATGTTGAGCCACGCACTGACGCAATGCATGCGATAACAGCCTTAACAGGCGTGATTTCAACCCAGCTGATCATCAGCTCCCTGTAGCTCAGTGGATGAGTGCTCCGCTATGACAATCGCGGGTCGGGTTCAAGCCCACTCAAGGGCGTCCGGTATTTTATGCTGCTAAACGTCGTAGGACATTAGGTAAGCATGGGTTCGAATTATTATAATTTCCCCGGAAAATTTAGGGGTTGAAATTTAAAGGTCGTCAATATTGAAATTTCTTTGCAAAAAAAAAAATTGCAACTTTTTTACAATGAGGGGGTCAGATGTTGTAAAATAATTGCAATTTTCTTGCAAGAAAGTTGAAATCATCTGGAAATTTTATTTCATTTAAATTGCAATTTTTTCGTTGCAAAATGCTACTTGGGTAGCGTTAAATTACTTAAATTTCTGATTTTTCAATCTTCCCTTGAGGCGTTTGTGTGAAATCGGTCTCTATTCTTTGATAAATTAAAAAAAAAAAAAAAAAAAAATGGCGTAATGCTTTCCTTAACCCCCTCTCCCTGGGTCATTACGTATTTTATGAACAGATCCTTCACAAACATGTATGGTAGTCAAGTAATTTTTCTTGCCACTAAAAAAATTAAGCTCCAACTTTTAGCAATTAGTTACCTACTTCAGCAGTGCTTTTTTGAGACTCGCTCCTTAAAAATGTAACTGTGAGCTTGAAAAAGATAGAGATCATGAAGAATCTTAACAGAATTCTTCACACCATTGAGAAATTTCTAGAAAAATGTTCAAACTTACCTTCAGAGTGCTAGTCAGGTACCGGACGTTTGTAAACTATAAAACGATAATCACGATGACAATACTAATTAGGAATTCTGAAACAAAGAGTGAGAAAGAGAAATATGGATTAGGTATCGGGTTATGTTGTTACAATGAGAGTTATATTTTTTAATTTGGTGCCACTGAGTGCGTTTAAATATGAAATGCCTCAAGCCAATAAAATATTTATTACAGCTGCAGAGCCAATTTGGATACCAGGTATAAGGTCACCACCTTTACCCTCTGTGCCCATCAGTTAGGAGAGGGTTCCATCATTTACTGCACGAACAATCAGAGGAAAGGTATACTTTTAGACAAGAAGCAAATAAATATCTCATTAGAAAGAGTGAACTGACGATAGTTTGTGGAAACGAAATGTTCCTTTCTTAAAAACATATCCTGTTTTTGCCTAATTTATTTTGCCTTTTTAAAGTAACTGATCTTCATAGAAGCTAGATGATGGAGAAGGAAAAATCATTAAGGGCAAGGCAAGGGAAACTGAAGAGATGAAAATCACAAAAAAGAAAGAATAAAAAGTTAGGTATGACAATAGAAAAAGTTAAAAGTAAAACACTAGTAAAAGAAAATTAAAAAGCCGACGCGTTTCGGGACACCTCGGTCCCTTCTTCAAGGCTAAATTCCGACTGCCTGACTAGTAAAAGATATTCTTAGAGAGCACTGCACACTGCTGGCTCTTGGTACATTTTGATGAAACTTGAATAATTTATCATAGGATTCATCACTACGCTGAGGCCAAAAAATTTTGGAATGAGTAATTCAACAATTAAAATTAGACATAGCAACAACGCAGTAACATAAGGAATGCAGTGCTATGCACTTTCATGTTTGCACTTTTCCATCCGTTTTGCAATGCACCCAGTTAGCAGCTTGTTGTGAGTCTCTCATTCCGTACGATGTTTACCAAATAAAACTCTGTCTGACCGATCCAATGCGTTCTCTTAAAAAACCCGGAAAACCAACTACATAACAACAAAAAATTTGGTAATTTGGTAAGGAAAGCCTTAGTGCTGTGCAGCAAACCTCTATTTTTTAAATATTAATTTTTTAAAAAAATGAAAACTGGTCCTCTTATGGATTCCTCTGAGTCGGAATCGTGTGCCCTCTCTGATTCTAGTTTGTAAGAACTACAGTTATGATTGCGCAGTGCTTGCTTCGTTACCCGTTAGATTATCCCACATCAAGAGCGGTGTAAGTGCCTGCAAGCGAAAACCGCCATGAGTGGTTACGCCAAAACTTACCACAATTCAAAATGAAAAAAAATCCTGCGAAGCCCATAATAGCTAAGAAACAAAAAGAGCTGCGACATTCATTACTACCACAATAATTGGTGAAATAAAATTGATAAGCTAGCAGTAAGAATTACTTTCAAGGCACAGACCCATTAATACGAAATTTTCCAAAAAAAATATTTTTACTTGCGCTAAAGTTACATGGTGAGAAGGGATAGAACTTCAAAAAAGCATGCGAAGACATTTTTTTTATAGTCTTGTTAGTTGTCTCTCAGGTAAAACTTTTCGTGGCGATAAGAAGCAATCTGTGATACTACGCTGTGATACTACAAGTGTTAGAAAATTCATGGAGGAGGTGAGGTGCATTTTGGACAGTCTTTGTTCCATCCAGCTTGATTAATCATATTTTACTTGTGTAAAGCTTGTGATACCTAAAGAGTTCTAGGTTAGAAAAGCTGCAAATCTCAAAAAATTGCTACTTTTAGCTTAGAAAAAAAGGCTTAAAGTTTCCAAAAAAAGGCCCTTTACCATAGTCCTGTATGTGACTGATGCAGAAATAAAGAAAAGGAGTTTATTATTGAAAAAATAATTTAAAGCTGATGGATTGTACAGATACATTATTATTACAAGCTCTCTGATTCACCGAATTTCCCATAATTAAATCAGTGAGAACGAAAACACACCTACTCGGTAACTTGAAAATGCTCGCTTTTCACTATGGACAGAAAATTTTCATAAAGGTCATTGAAGTTACCGTATCTGTTCCAACTTGTACATTTAAAGTGTCCTGAAGTACTTGTTTTTAGGCACCAAAAATCTTTTTCTCAGACTAACTTCTTCACCTACTATGCAGTTTTGTGTGTGTCTCGATTATTTTCATTTTTTCGAGTAGGTGTTTTTTCGTTCTCACTGATTCAATTGCCATTGGAATACCTAGTGATCTAACAGGCTGATTTTCATAATTGTTTGGCTGTTGACTGATAGTAATTTCTGGATGAATCTCATGTTCTTGGGGACTTCAAACGCAGGTTTCATTTGGCTATGATGAGCCCTCAGTGAACGCAGAATGCCTATAAAGGGGTGAGCCACGAAACGAGCGAGTTACTTCCTAGTGCTTTTGTAGGTATTCATACTTCGAAAAAGCTTTTTCTCTTCCATTCAAAACTTATATATGCCACTGATAAAATAGGGCAAAATAATGGGCCTATGTTGAAAAGGATATAATGTGTGCCTACTCGTCAATATTAAGAAGCCATTAATTTATTTAACGCAAAATATTTTGATGGTGGAACCACAGAAATGTGTACCTATCTTAATTTGCAGACTTCCTGTCATGCTTCATTTTCTAAATGGAAAAATATTAAAAGTAATTTCTTGGAAACTTCAGTGATTTCTCTTCTCTGAGCAAAGCATATTCTGTGAACATTTTAGGCCATGATGTTAGTTTCGTCTCCTTTTACAAAATGAATGGGAGGGAAGATTTTGAAATATCGCAACCGAGATACGCACTTCTGCAGTTTCACTGTCGATTTGAAGTAAATACAGGATTAGGGACAAAAACAGCAGAAGCAATTATTAATATACGATTGAACTCACCGCATTTATTGACGATGCGGCCTGGACATGTAAAAGCTTACTTCACGAGAGAGAGAGCTCGCTGAGCTACAGCGGGAAAGCTGAACAAGCACCAATATAAAAATATTATTAAGAAGAAAAACGTAAGCAAAAAGCAATGTTGCATTAGAGTGATAAATTAAATCCGTATTGGCCATAGGAAGCATGCCAGAGACCATTTATGGAGCACAGCAATAACAACCCTACCCTACTCGCAATAGTTGAAGAACAAACATTGCGAGTAAAAAAGTTGTTACTAACCAAAAAAAATAATAATAATGATAAAAAAAAAAAAATAAAAAAAAACACTCCTAAGAAATATACCTCAAACTTTTTTGCAAAGACTAAAACTCCAAATCAATAGTCACTTTTTCCCCCAAGTTTCACAATAGCCCAAAACAAACTAATAATTATTGCACACACTTTATCACATGATCTGGAGATGCTTTCTCTTGCAAAGAAAACTAAAACATCTTGGATACATGAATAAAAATAGGTAAAACAAAATTAAAAAAAAAATCAAGGGTCCAGATAAAATCAAAATCATAGAAACAGGGACCATCAGAAAAATATATGATGTAGGAAAAAGGCTTGTCACACATCATTACTTGCAAAGCGGTAATGAACATTAAGAGCAAAGAGTGTCCAGAAAATCACACCGCAAACCCACTGCCTCAAAGCTTTGCGGTTTTTTTTTTTTTTTTTTGAAACTCCATTGGTAAAAAACAGATGATTCTTATTGTACCAGAAATAGAGAGTCAATTTGACCACTTCAGTATCACTTAGATTGCAAAAAATGATGATAAGACAAGACAATCACTGCAGGAACGCAAAAAAGTTGCCACTTATGCAGACTTAGCTGTAAAAGGATCCATATTGTTGTAATGTAATCAGCAAAGTGCAAAAATGAAGCAAAACAAAACCAGTTAACCAGCTACACAATACTTTTACTAAAACTAGAAAATGTCTCATGCTTGACGCACCATGTTTGACCACAGTGCAAATGCCACTGTCTCCATTTTTTCTCGGTTTTGTGAAACTAATGACATGCAGGATAAAAATTTGCAATTGTTTGAAAAATGTCTTCGGAGGAATTATGCAAAAGGTTCCAATCAGAAAGTTCTTGGGACAACCAAACAAGGCAAAAAAAACCATATAAAATTTGATAAAATATTTCTCTACCTATTGATGACACTTGGATGATTCAAAGCTTAAAGTGGACACCTTTTTTAAAGAAAGAATTCAATCCCACCTTGTTTTTCTACACAATAGTAGAAGTATGAAATTAATTCAGACACAAATGACAAAAAATACAATATGAAATGTACAGCAATTGACAGAGATTAGTAATAAAGCAGTGCTCTGAATTAACCTCCGAATATTCGGAGCCATTTAACCGATTCATCTGATTTTATAGAGGCTGCATACAATTATTTAACGGCTGTTAGCACCGGTTATTTTCAGGCACATTTTACAAATTCAGTCTGATAAAGTTACATTACTGTAGTGGGGCATAAATTAAATTACTCTCACTGGGCCTTGGGCTAATTGAATTTTTTCATTGTATGGTTGAAAAAGAGAGAAAGGAAAATTGGGTTTCATAAAACTTTATTCCCTTGAAAAACTAACGCTTTACCTTGATTGACTGCATTCCACGCACTAAAAAGAGGCAGTATATAGTGGTGGTAAAATATATTCATGTTTGAGTAGTGCCTTAGCTACTTCAGGTGCTTACACCTCTATGTTAAAAGATAAAAAATACCTACTTTCTTTTTAAATAAATAAATAAATAAATGGCAAATTGGTTGGCATTGAAACTTGATTCTCATCAATAATTTGGAGCATCACTGATGCAAACTTGCAGCTTCTAAAAAAATTATTTCTTTATGCTGTCCACGAATGAAGTCAAAATAAAGATGTAAAAGTTTATCCATGATTTCGGGGAGTTTGATGGCTTAAATTCGGATCAAACCCGACAGGTCAGTTGCACATGTCATAGGACTCTGATCCATGCTCGAATCTTACAGATGAGCTAGAAACAAAAAAAGGATTGAGCTAGGTGCTGAGTTTTTACATCCATTAATATCAGAGTCATCGCCCATTGAGAGACAGGATAGATGATATAATCCACAATGTTTCTCATGAGATGATCTCCGATAATATTAGAGGTAGAAACTCAGCATTTGGATAGTCTCATCATTTTTAGCGGCTCTGAGAGATCGATCCATCAAAACCCTGCAAGAGCAACTGACTCAAGTCGGTACCACATTATGATAATTTTTGTGAGATGAAATCTATGATTCTACATTTTGAAGTTTTCTGCGCATATGATTTTGGAGTGACAACACGATTCAAAATTTGCTAGATTAAAATGACAAAAACAACAGGCACTAAAATAATGAGAAAATGAGAATGAAGCACTAATGGGTATGCATTTAAACTACTCATTCTCAGGCTAAGCTTGAGGTAAAGGCAATAGGTAATAAGTTGCTGATTGATATGAGAGGATGATCATGAAAAAAGTTTAAAAAATCGATCAACTTATCTATCCATCATGCATTAAGAGGAAATTATAAAATGAAAACGCCAAGTCTACCTATGAAAAAAGCTGATTTGAATGTTGATAGTGATAATAATGACTACACTTGCAACAGTGCGAATGAACGGTGAAGAAGGTCAATAACTTACAAAAAATCATGAGGTCGAGCCATCATCTGAAAGCTGCATGTGAGGAAGGGAAAAAAAGAGAGAAAAAAAGGTTATTTATAATTAGGTGAGTTTAGTAGGAAGGAGCCCTTGTTTTTTATGGAGGGGTCGAATTGGAAATCGTTAGAAGGACTGAAAACTAAACGACTTAATGCTCACACTCCTCAATCCAGCTTAGAATTCTAAGAGCACACGGGAGCAACAACTGTGTACCTTCTAGACTATGTGACTGTAGGGATGAATAAAGTTCCTTTAAATACCTGTGCATATTTTCGAGGAATTAAGAAGGGAAAAAATGGACTCATTAACAGGCAGTTACCACAAAAATTAACTTTTTGTTTTTATAAATTGTATCAATCTTCTATTAACATAGAGGTTTTTTTTTTTTTTTTTTTTTTTTTTTTTTTTTTTAATTAGAACGCAGCAAATAGGTATATTGGTATCTGAGTATAGTGCGGGTGAGACTTTAATTCAAAAGTTTCTTTACTCTCCTGAATGCCTCACTGATCTAATTCATTTACGTGCCACACAAAAAATATATCCTGATCAAATACTCCTTGCTCTCTATACTTATAAAGGATGTAAAGGATATTCACTAATTAGTCACCAACTCAAGAGAACGAAATAATTGAAAGGAGGGTTAACTATTTCTAAGAGGAATATTCTTGGGATTTTGGGATATTAATGAGGTTCTTTTAAGCACAAGCAAAGGTTGCATACTGACAGAAGAGACTGATGAACTAATCTTCACGAAAAGTTAGGGGTGGGTCTGATCTCAATTGTAGGGTTTGAGTCGTTGACATCATCTCACCGGCCTTGTAATAACATTTAAGCTGGGCCGTAATTTGATGAGGGAATAAAATTTTGGGTGACAAAAGAAGCATATCTTCAATCATAAAGAAGATAATAAAACTTAACCTACCTCTGCTGGTTGATCAGAGGGTGGAACAGGTTGACCGACATAACCAGATGGACTTACAAAATCAGTGGGCAAGTTTTCGCTACTCTCAACTGCAACATAAAACATTAAATCATTGGTTTTAGATAGGTTTCATGTAGAGAAAGAAACTGTACGCTAATTTTTAAGAGTACATATTAAGCTTGTTTCCAGACAACTGATTGGGATAATGGGTACGAAATTAATTTTGACCTCTTTAAAAATAGTTCATACCATCAATGAATCTTGTGGTAAGGATCTGACTAGCCTCTTGACGAACTGCCTGAAAGCACCTTTGCACTGGCATTTCATTCTGCAGGTTGTAGCAGTGTGATTTGAAGGATATGGATGAGTGCTTTTTCAAAATTCTTTCCAAACTGGCCTATATAATTCAGAGAAAAGTTACGTCTTTTCGTTGTTTCTTTCATGTTTATCCAATCTGCAGTGTCTGATGCAAAAAGAAAGGAAGGAGAAAAAAAATTCAATTCAACTTGATTTTTACTAGAGTGATGTTTTTGGTGAGGGTGACTAGAATCCTAAAGGATTTTATCACACTGTCAGTAGTTTCCGAACATCGCTACATAGAATTCATCAAACTCATGTTTGAAACTCGCACTGGTACTTCAGAAGCTCCGACAGTATCATTAACTCCACTAGGCTCTCATTAACTTGATCAAGAGGCATTGTCATTTTGCTTGGTTTGCTATGGTTCTGTTTTTTGGCTTGCCACCAGAGAACTGATCGAAAACTGAAATCAGGAATGAAAGTTTTGAGGCAACTTGACTTAAAGACATGAGTGATCTTATGAATAAATGAAAGCAAGTCGACTGTGTAAGTCGGCAATCACATAACTCGGTTTTTGACATCATACTTTGTTCTTTAAATGGAAAATTACTCAATGGCAATTCTTTAAAACTGCCGTAATTTTTCTTCTCTGTGCGAAGCAAATTCTGCAAAAACTTCAAGGAATAATGTCAATTTGTTCTCCTTTGAAAAAATAACACAGAGGCAGAGATTTTCAGACACCACGAACGAGATATGTGATTGCGGACTTACGCCCTAGAAGTGTTACAGCAGATGTTTATTAATATAATCTTAGCAGGTAAAGAGGACTTACTTGGAGCTGGAATGAAAAAATTGTTGACTGCAGGAGCCTGAGCTGTTGGAGGAGGAAACATTGGCTGAGCAGGCTGAGCAGAAGGTTTACTGCCACCAGGGTTCATTATATCTACGTAATTTGAACGCATGCCTGTGAAATAGAAATGATATTAGTAGAGAACTGCAGTAGGAAAAAGAGGGAGCTGAGAGTAATCTTAAATTCTAGTTATTGGGAATTTTTTCCTGTCAAAACTTCTAAGTCGAGAAAAAATCTTATGAAGGTGAAAAGAGTCGTTTAACTTTGTCCTTAACATTGAGTCTTAGGAAGGAATAAAACTTCAAACTTTTCTGCTCAGTTTAAACTTGATGGGACTTGGTACGTTTCTGTTCTCAGTTCATTTAATCTTCAAATAAATTTAAACATCTGTTGCATTGAACTATTCTTCATTTTGAACTATAAAAAAATCAAAGAATGTCTAGAGAGGTATCATGCACCTATTTTTAACTAAGAGGATAGACAAATTGCACAAAAACCTGGCTAAAGTTTTTGTTTAACTTTTTAAAATACAGTACTTCATAATTTTCTTGGTTGAGCGCAAAATTTACTTTGATAATCGCGAAGGTTAGTTCTCAGATGCTCACAAATGTTTCTAATGGTAAAACCAAGAATTTATCATTTTTTTCCCTTTTTTTTTTTAAATAAGTATACAGGCTCATTATTTTGAATTATTTGCTGAGCATTCTATGCACTTTTAATCACTATTTTGCAGGGCAAATGAACCCATATCGACGGTCAAACTGCAAACCTCTCTGTTGCAGTTTCAAAATCTGCACTCTTTTCTTTTTGAAAAGGAGATCAAACCAAAATTAGCTTGAAATTTTCATAAAATATTCTTCCCACAGAGAAAAAATATAACCAAAGTTTTCAAGACGTTCAGTAGTTTTTTTCCTAGAAAACAGATTATGACAGGAATTCTACAACACCGCAAACCCAGCTACACATTTCTACAGTTTCACTATTGTTATGCACTACATTTCTTGCAATAAGAACATCATACTGCATGGAGGGAGTACGAGATAAAGGGAATGTTCGCAAAGTTTCCATTTGATAAAGAGCTAGTTAAAAATTACCTCTGCCTCGTTGAAGTTTATATTTGTTTCCTGATGGAGGAGGCAAGGTTGACAATTGAGTGTTGCTGATAGAGCTGTTGTCCAGGGAAGCTGTGGATGAGGGTGAACTTGTTGCAGACGGATTGAAACCCAAATCTGCAGCTTTCGGGGGTGGTTTTAGCTCTGCCTCTGCTTCATCTCCATCTGAACTCTTGTTCACCCACCGTTTCTTTTGGTCATCCCATACAATCTGGAAAGAGAGCAATGTTATGATTATTCATGCGATTTCTTTTCACACATTGCCTCCTACAGCATATTTCCCCCAGCACCATGGCGTTTCCCCCTCCCCTCCCTCCGAATAAAAACAAAAAAAACCGCTAAACAGCGGTGTTACCTCTCGTTGGGGTCATGCTAGAGGCATGAGCACACACATGACTCCAACGACCACTGGCCTTGCGGGAGAGTTCAACATAAACTGCAACCCAGTCAGAACAACCTGTGAAGTGCTCACAAAACCCTTCATCGGCTCGATAAGCAATGTGTTGAAAATTAGCAGTAGAAAAATTAATGAATTACAGAACAATTGGTTTAGACATGAGAAACTGTTCGCCAAGACACAATAAATGCTGTAAGAATCAGTAACTCACATCATTCGCAACGAGAAAAAGCTGCCAAGAGTGTCTGGTTATTTGTATTTTTCAACGCTAGATCGTCGGTTTCCATGACTTGCCATCATTTCCAACCAACCCAGATGATTAAAGCTCTGGATATTTAGAGTCCAATTGTTTTGGGTTCTAATACATACATGATCATCTACAGACAGGGCCTCAGTGTAGAGACATTGAAAACTGAGTCATTGGTACTACTTACTGCACAAAATATACCTCACACATAGAAATTCTGAAATATAATTGAAATGAATGATGAGTGGAAGAGTTATTATGACTGTTATAAGCCGTCTTCTTTCAAAAGAAACCAAAATCAACTCAATAGGTTGCTCAGGTTTTTTAATAGGTCAGTTGCGCTGGTCACAGAATCGTGTTTCGATGCTTGATTCTTGTGGATCAACTAAAAATGATAAATGTCCGAACAGCAACTTTCTACGTTTGATATTGACAGAGTTATCGCCTTCTGAGTTGGGTTTTTGACGTCATCCACCGCGGTAGTGACACCCTTGGTTTCTTCCACCTTGCTTTTATCAGTCCAGAAGACACATATTTGCACTGGTTGCTCAACATAGAACTCGGTTGAAAGCAAGATGTAAGAAAACAAGGATGTTACTACCGCGGTGGATGACGTCATAAACCAAATTTTCCAATATCTCAGTTAATATTGAGCGAGGAAAAATGCTGTTTGGATGGATCTTATTATTTTTAGCTGATCTAAAGAAATCAGGCATCGAAACACGATTCTGTGACCAGCGCAACTGAACCATTACAGCACCAGTTTGAGTCGTTTTGGGACACCCTTCATAAATAAGTAGGCATTTCTGCCATGCACTACGACAAGTGAGTCATGATGCATTAGGTTTGATGCCACATATTGCTAGAAAATCAGCATTTTTCCCCACATAAACCCCTTGACAAACGGCCACCGTTTATTGCACAATTTGGCAACCTTACTTACTTGAGGATTAGTGTCTTCAGGAAGTTTCATCTGATTTTTGGGTCGAAGAGCAAGCTTATCCCATATGAAACCACCGAACCAGCTTCCGCTTTTGTTACTACTTGTATCCTTGCTTTTTTTCTCAGCTTTCTTTGATTGCGTTGCAGAATCGGATGCTTTGGTATTGTTCTGCCCCTCTGTTTGGTTTCCGTAATTTGGTATGGGCGGCAATGATTTTGACATCTAAAAAATTACATGAACAGAACAAAACACTCTTAAGTGGAAATACTAGATAAGCTTTACAAACAATGAAATCCTCAATTACAGGGTTCAAGACTCACGACTGTAAAGAGAGAGAGAAAGAGAGACAGAGAGAAAAAGCAAGAAAAATGAAAGAAAAATATTTTATTTAAGAGGGAAGCAAGCGTTTTTTGTTTTTTTTTCTTGAAGAAATGACACAGAAAAAAAAATTATCAAAAGGTTATAAGTCAATTAAAAGATACAAATACACAGTTGAAAGAAATGATTTGATTGACACATCAAAAAAAGGATGCCTTTACCAAAATAAGTTTACCTGCTATGAATTACCAATGTGGATAGAATTCTCTTGCGTGAATTCGCGTGAATTCATCCAAATATCATTGGACTAACTATTCAGCAATCTCCTCGACTTTTGAGATTTTCCATTCTGATACTACTTGCAAGCCAAATATCAGTGAAAATTCAAACTCATTCTTTTCCAAAAAAAATTAATTAATTAAATAATTAATTTTGCAAAGTTTTACAAGACTAGAATGCAAAAAAATAAAATCAAAATTTCAAAATTAAATCCTTGAATCTATTCAGAGTGTTTCACTAGAGATAAGAAAACTACTTGATAGCTTAGGGTATTTAAGTGAAAACCTATCTGAAGAAACACCAATGTAGGTGAATTATTCCTTATTTTTAGATCACAGGTTCTTCTACACACTATAACCAGTGCAAAGAAATTTTGAGTCATGGCAAGAGAAAGAGGAAAGGATCCAAAATTTTCATCAGACCCCTTAAGTCGTGATGGTTTGTACTTAAATAGTCAAATTTGCATTAGCAATAAATGACTACATTGAAACCGAAACTGCTTGGCAAAAAAAAAGAAAACCGAGCATTTTAAGGATTTTACTGGCAAAATCTCGTCACAGCAGACTTTTAAAACATGAAAACCGAGGAATAAATTGGAATATGGTGAGATCAGTCTCTCTCAGGGTTTTCAAATTTTAAAAAATGTCTCGAGTTGGCTTCATATATTTGTTAGGTTTTGGAATTGGGTGATTTTTATAAAAAAAATAACCTGATGTTTTTCATTTGGCGACCAGATACATCAGTTTTCTAGGAGAAATATGACCTCACTAATGTAAAGAGGACTTATGTATAGAATTGATTGAGCAAATATTTATTATGTTCATTGATGATGTGATAAAGAAGTTTTTTTTGCCAAATGATGGCATTGGTTTCTTTCGCTACCATTAGGATTTCTATGAATTGAACAACACATTTCCGATTGAGACAATAAATAGGTTATCAACCTAACCCGAAAAGCATATTAAAGATATGTACTTCCACAACTTAACAATGCTGTTCATCTTCCCCAACATTGACATTACAAATGCTGGAATTTGGAACAAAGTTGCTAACCCTCACTACTTTTAATAGTATAAGCTGAATTTAGAAACTTAGGAAAATAATTTGTTTCTTTCCACTTAAAAGATATTACACAGACGAAGAGATGGATTTTCATTTCTTTATTTTGAAAAGAAAACATTGATAGAAACATCAAGAAATTCAACCAGCTAAAGTAACTAAAATTTAACACTTAAATCTACTTGGTAAAAAAAAAAAAAAAAACAGGGAATAAAAAAAGAAAACTAAAAAACTGAAAAGGAAACATAAACAGGAAGTTATATGCACAAGAGCTGAATAATGCACAAGCTCATCATTAAAACTGCAGCAGAAAAAATGGATACAGCTTTGAAATGGACCTAATTTTGTCACCTTCCTGCCAAAATATCGCAACCGCCATTTTGTGCTTGGGCACTAAGTTGGAAAATATCCCAAGCTTGTCCAATTTCCTACCGAAAAACTAGAAAACAGGTTCACTTGAAAATTTTATCTAACATTTCTTTTGTCAATAAGATTATTTCCTGCAATTTTCATGAAAATACCTACGTGCAAAAAATTAGGAAAAAAAAAATTAAAAAAGTATTGAGATGTTCAGCAAAATAGCGTCTACCTGTAAATGTGCTTATGATACTTTGGCTGGAAGGTGAAGGTTCAAACATTCTAACTTCAGATTACCCACAGGTAGATTGATTCTGAACTTCTTAACTATTTAAAACTTTCGAATTTACTCAAAAAATTGATGAGAACATCAATTTCTAAATCTCTAGGTCTGCCAACCCAGGCAGTGCATCTCTAGAGGAATGTCAACATTTTTATGGTTACAAGGTTATTGCAGGAACATTCATGATAGTAAAAATTTCGGATCAGACTAGAGAAGAAAAGACTGGCAAATTCTGTGTTAGGTCAAGAATTATAATTGATTTATAGTACAAATTCAGAAATATGTTCATCATTCTTTGTCGTGAAACACAGTTCATTAAATGATTAGTGCTAAATTAAGGGCCGTATTCATAGTTGTTCCTTGAACAGCTCCTTTTTTAAAGAGACCACATACGATTTAAACCGAGATTAAGCAAGGTGTCAGGAAATCCTCAACATTCCATCACACCCATAAAAAGGACAATTTTTTAATATATCTCCAGTAAAATTCAACAACATGAACATGACTTGGGAGATAGATCCTTGCAAGGGATTACAATCATGTGCCTATGTAAAATATTAAAATTACAAAAGATAAGATTCAGCGGGTTTTGAAAATATAAAAGTAGATTTGTATTTGTTTTAAAGTTAATCAAAATCATAGAATTTTTTCTTCCGTTTCCATATTCCCTTTGGTCGGCTAAGCAATGTAGTGGTCTATTAATGGCAATTTAAAGAAAAATATATGACAATACATATTAGACTGAGATACAGATGGAAAAGTAATAGGCTAAAAAGCTTCTAACTGCTAAAACGTCTTTTTTTCTAAAAACATACAAAGTAACAGGTCTCTGAAAAGATGTATTAATTGAGGCTTTCATTGTAATTTCATTCTTTTAAAGTAGGAGGCACTTAAAAATACTTAAAAATACATTTACTTGATTCTACAGGGACAAACGTACAATAGGATGTCAAAATTTAGATAAAATAAACGCTTCCACGAAAAAGTTACACACTTACACTACATGCCAAAATGGCATGCAATGAGAGGAAAGATTTGTTCCAAAAACATGAATATGTGTAAGTTAGAGAGAGGGATAAAAACTCGCATTAGAAAATGTTGATTTTTGTTTAATTCTGTATCCTATAGGTTGATCAATTGGGTAAGTACCATTGAATATAACATTTTTTCCACCAAAAGAACGCCCATAAGCATACTTTTTGGCCATATTTTGATTTTTACGAGTAGAAAATTTCAATTTTTCAAACTGATCGCAAACATTTTTGGTATTTTCAATTGGAAACATATTACTACATTCTACTCTATCACCAACATTACTATGTTTATAATTATGATGATTTGAGCTAGAAGAATGATTGTCATAAATATTGAAATGATGGTTGTGACAGGTTTCTGTGAACTGGACGTTTTTGGGGTTGTTTTCCAATACTGGATCACAGGGGTTTTCGTTTCCAATGACTTCATTTTCATTTATCATTAGTTGGATTCTACTTCGAAGCAAACAAGTCCATTTACTATCTAGAGTGAGATTTGAATAAAGGTGAGAAACCGTAGGCTTGACATTTAAGTCTCCCAATTTAGGCTTTTCTGATAAAATGTTTTTCTTACAGCTAGACCGGAGTTTGGATTTCAATCTCGATCGAACTTTCGTGCCTAACTTTAATTGTCAAACATTTGGAGACAGGAAGTTTCCGTGAGAATGAGGGGGAATGTTACTTACAGGCTTGATTTTAACATCTTCAGCTTCCTGAGTGCGTCCCAAATGAAAGCAACAAAAGAGAAATGACAACACAGTAAGGAATATCGAAACAGATAAAGTTATTAATGCTGTCCCCAGAGGACTAATGCACTTGTACCACTGAAAACCCTTTTGATCTGTCCCCTACCATCAAGTTACTACAAGTACATTCCCACCAGGCCCAAAAAATGACACACAAAAAATAGCAAAATGAGCAGTTTTGACTATATACAAAGGGCTTTCTTCAGTCTATGATACAAAAGACAGCAGTCAGTGCTGTGTTCTGCATGCCTCCAAAACGAGTATGAGACAGGAAAATTATGGTTTACAATGAGTAATTTAATTGGATGAATATGCAAATGCAAGAACTCAATTTATTGGATTGCGATTAAAAAAATTCCGGGATTTAGCGGATCAATCATCCAGTCCCTTCAAGGACCTCAAGCTAATTTGAATTAACTGGTTCCGCGAATTAACCCATCAGTCCCAACCGCGTCAGTCCTGTGAAATTCGATAAATCAAGGTCTCACTGTATTATTATTTTCAACTGAAACAGAGAGAGAGAAACCAATGATTGAAAATGAAATTAAAAACGTACCTGGTTATTATCTTTCGGTTGAGGGTAGTAATCGAATGAGGGTGGTTGACTATTCATGACAGGCAGACTATTTTTATACTCTGTGTTTAATGATTGGGTGCCCCACGACTGCTCCGCAGGCTGACTCGAGACTTTTTGGTGATTTTCTGCTTCCGGCACAGTACCCCACTGATTGGGTGGGTTGCCTGCCCATTGACTGTAGTTTGTCTGGCCAGCATTCAAACCAGAAGAGTTCCATGGATTCTGAGAGAATTCTTGCGCCCCATCATGAGGATGTTCTACACTATCTCCTCCCTGTCCCACCATTTCATAACCTGGTCAACATAAAAGAAATTCAAATTTTTATCTTCAGTGAAGAGATTTATTTTTTACATTTTCTTTTCATTTTCCATATTTAAAATAAACTTCATTTAAGAGGATTACTAAGTGGAATGGGGTGTCAGCGCCCCTACTTGAAGAGAGTATATAAAACTCTTTGATTAGCAAATCAGTCAACGGTTGCTGAGCCGATGAGTTGTTCCATAAAGTTACGTAAGTTGCAGGATTGCTAGCTGTATTCTTTAAGTTGTAATGGGATGCATTGCTTTAGGGACAACCTGTGCACTTTATATTGAGATCTGCATTGAGCTTTTTTGACGTATATGTCAAGATGGTGTTACATAGTAGGATAGAGTTTATGGCCACCACAACCTGCGGTTCTTGAGCAGCTATTTCACAGACTGGGTTGGCTAAAGTAACAGATTCATTATTGTGCATGGCATTGATTATATTGTTGTTTGGATAAATACTTACCACCATTTTGAGTTTCATAGAACTGCTTAGAAGATGGAGGCTGCCAAAAACTTGACTGAGTTTCATCTTGTTTAATAGGTTGTTGAGTGGGGTCAAGATAATAAGGCTCCTGGATATTGGCTGAGGATGCCTAGGATAGTGAAAAATGAATATTACAATACAATATCATACAGATAAACCTTTGCAGGGCTCCAGAGGGAAGCAGAACAGAGGAGAGGGATACGCCAAATACTATCCTCACTGAAGCCTCCAACTCGAAATTCTGAGAAAACCAAATGAGGGTTTGGTCATAACCCACATATATAAGAAAACTGGCAGAAAAGAAATTAGCCTAAAACCTCAGGCGCAAAGTTTCTCCTTGGTCACACAGAAGGTCAAAGTCTCTTTTGATTGAAACAAAGGAAAACACAGAAGACGACAGGGTTCCCAAAGGGGTTTTGCCAACTCCTCCGCTCTCAAGGCCTCAGGAAAGGGTGGTAATGTATGAATTTTTCCTTAAAATAAGATTGATTCAAGCTCGTTTTATCAATTTTAATTTTAACGTCGTTGTTAAGGCCTTTTTTAGGCATCGATTGGACACTGCTAAAGTTTTGAACCTAAATAATTAAGGTATTTGAGTACTTGGACCATATTTTGAATGAGTGACCTGATATGAATCAATCACACACAAGTACACAGAGAGGATCTCAATATACACATCATAGCAAGAGAAAGAAAAGAAAACTGTAGGAGCTTAATGGCCGTACTTTTAAGACAAGGTTTCTGCCTCAGCTTTTACGTTACGTACGAATAATTCAATGTAATTTGTATATATTTCAAAATCTTTGCTTCTTTTATTTATTTTGTTTTGCTCATGTGTGATGATAGGAAAAATTTCATTACAGAGGTATTACATATCGACGGTGAAACTACCAAACCACGTATCTCGTTTGCGGTGTTTAAAAATCTACGCTCACATTTTATTTTTTTGAAGTAGAACAAATCAATATCATTCCTTGAAATTTTCACGGAATTTTCTCCGCACAAAGAGGAAAAATCACAGAAATTTTCAAGACTGGATGTTAAGTAGTTTTTCATTTGAAAAATAAAGTATGACAGGAAGTCTGCGACGTCGCAAACCGAGATACGTGGTTTGGTAGTTTCACCGTCGATATCTATTTATCCTATCCGATCATCATGATTTTAAAAATTGAAACAAATGTTCATAAAGTAAAAAAAAAGGGGGGGATGTATAATTTTACCAGATTTTGTTGCTGTGATGAAATTTGAGAGTGTGAAACGGTTTCTTGATCAGGAGGATCTGAAATAGTTAAGTTAGATGTTGATCCCCTTTCAGATAGCCTAAAATTTCCATCCTGAAAAGTAAAAACAAAACGGTCAAAGCCTGAAACAACTGAGCCCAAGATCTAGTTGCCTAATAAACTTTGCGTTGAAAACACTTAAAAAATAGCAAAAATGAGCAAACAAATCAAAAGGACTCGAGGTGAATTTTACACCTACTTTTATTTTTACTTCAGAGAAAACCAATCTTGCTTTATATCACCTTATACACATAGATGTTTTTATGAAAGCGTCCGCCGAATTGATTACTTTCAAATAAACTCGATTCAATTGGCCAGAAAGGAGACTCATTTCATAAAATGCAATACCATAGGTAAGGTTATAATTGAAAGTTTGATTTTTTATGTTTACTATATTTCTTTCCACTTTTCCCCTGGATTTTTATCATTTTTTCGACAAAAAAAGTCATTTCTTAAGTTCGATAAAACTTTAAGCTTGCTTTGCTGAGCACATAGCACATCCTACCTTTAGTTTTACGAAGCGAGATGTCAAAAATTTGAAGTAAAGAGGTCTTGTGAATTCAATGAGGGAAATGGAATTTTTACTGCATTTGTAAACAAGCACACGTAGAGCGCACGATGGCGTGTTTATTTTTCATTCTCAGTCAAAACGAAGGCATCATTCTTTTTTGATCTGTGGTTGGTGCCTTAGATTTATTTTATGCCTAAAAGATTAAGTCGTTTCTTTCATATACACAGCTGCTTACTTTTAACTGAGGTTTAATATTGAACTCATCAATGTGAAATGATTGTTGTTGAATCAATGCATTGTTCAGCTCATCAATACATTGAACAAAATTTCTGTTACTTCAATGATTTTTTTAAGTTAGGCTCCGGTTTTTTTGCAAAACTTCTACTACAAGTGCACTTTTGACTCTGTTAAACCAGTTTGAACCAAGCTGAGATTAATTTATGAAACTGACTGTACTCACTTGGCTGAACTACTTTCGCTTGAGTTAAACGCAAGTTTACTTCAGTAAGCAAAGCATTAGATTCGATTATAACTTGGAGAATCTTACCATTGCATCATCCACCAGCCTTCGTAGGTCAACTAACCAGTCCGGATCATCACAGACATCACCGCCCAAGGACAAGGAAATGTCACTGTATTTAATTTTTTCTGAGAGCTCTAGAGTATGCGTGGCCAGCTGATGTCCGTACGTATTGGGATCCTTTATAATTTCAATGGCAACTTGTTCCAGGTATTGCAGGGCAACATTTGGTCGTCCCCAATCGATAAGTCTTATTGCTAGCAAGTATTTATAAGGCTGCATCAAAAAAGAAAAAAATCATGGATAAAATTTGAGAAAATAAAGGCAAGAATCGCTGAAAAAGAATTGCTCAAAATTTGGAAGAGACAATGACTTTTCAGTAAAACTACAATTATCTACTTTCAAATTTAAATCTACCTTTCACAAAAGCTGTTGTGTTGAGTTTGGGCGGTGACTTGGCACTACGGAAATCTAACCTAGAAGAACAATACCAAATTATAGACCACTAGACAAGATTGCAAATTAAGCACTACTATGTATGTGACTTTGTCAAAATTGTACATAGAGCACGATGCATTAAAACTTTCCAAATTCAACTCATGAGTTGGAACAAAGCGATTTTTGTCTACAGCGCTTCTCTTTTGAGTATGAATTAATTTGCGAAGTTTTTGATAGGTTAACATGTTGTACATAAAATGTTGTTCGGAAAACATGTGCTGCATTTCGTTTTTTAGCCTATTTTGTGGTTTTTTATAAGGTAGACAATCTGAACTTTCAAACAGGTCCAAATTCACTTTGAAGGAACAATTTATAGCAGTTATGATTTTTTAAAGTCGACGGAGGCTTGTCATGTAGTATCCACATGTCAATCACTTTTTAAAAAGTGCGAGTCACTTTCAGAGTGCGACAGAAGATCAGCTGTCTTCATTTTACTTTTCAAAGTAAATATAAAAATCAAGATGGCAGATCTTTTGCAGCTCTCTGAGAGTGAACAAATTTATCTGGCATGGACTCCAGAATCGTCTCCACCTGACAAAAAAAGATAAGCAAAACAACTGGACAGAGGTAAATACCTGTAATGATGGAATGACAAAGTTTTTGTTGTGGAGTTTCTTTGCGTACTCATAGCACAAACTAAGCATGATGGCACTGTTGGAGGCAAATTGTGAGAACGGTAGAACGTGAGAGGAACCAAGCAAAACACACTTTGCGCCTGGTTTAGAATACGGTGAAAAGTCTAACTGAGCGGTTAAATAACAAAAATGAGCAGCAAATAGTCTTCCCCGAGCAGCTGTAAACAAGAGAGATTTGCATGAAATTATAAGAAAATGAAATTTAATTAATTGAATTGAATGAATGTTACAGAAGACGACATTTAACTGAAATCAACCAAAAGTTATTGCTTTCAAGGAACCTCACTTAAGCAATCAGATCACTCTAAAAATTTTACTAGACATGGTTTTTTCCTACTACAAATGGACAGTTACAACTCTTGGAGCTAAGAATGTTGTCTGCTTAGACAAAGCTACTAGAGAAAAGCTTTAGACAGTCAATCTGATCGTTCAAAACCACTATTAAAATAAATGACAAGGAAGCTGATAAATGAATCGGTTAAACGTTAAAACCACTTTCGTTTGCCTTTACTACATAGTATTAACAAGGCTGGCAAGATGTTGTGCACATGTGCTCTCTATGTAGAATTGTCAGGAGACTTACCTCTATTTCCATAAAACCTACTGAAAAACGATAATTTTTACTAGGATGAGCTGCGTATAATGAAAATGTTGAAAATTTCAAAGGTTGAGGAGACTTAATCTAATTTCTGATCATTCTTCGACCAAAATAAAATTAGAACCAGAGATTAAAATCAGAGGCTTAAGAGCCGGCAATTATTACTTACAAAGTGAATCGCCTAGAGTTACGATTGCTTTGCGATCTACTTCAGGCCTGCTAGATGGATTACTTAAAATCATGGCAAGGTGTGGCCTCCAATCTCCCCATCTTTTGTCTGCGCAGCACTATGAAAAAGAGAGGAGGATATTTATTAGCTAAGACATGATTAAAATAAGTAGAGCATTCTCATTTTAAAAGTGATCTTCAACCCTGTTTTATCAGAAAACAAATTTTGGCACCTCACTTTTACTACTTGATAAATCATCTAAAACGAGAAAAACATTTAAAAATGTGGCCTGAACTGTATGTAATGAGGTAGTAAAATACTGCTGGGTCTACGCTGCTTTACAGGGAAAGCAAGGCCAAAAAATTCACAAATTTCAATTAGAATGAGAAATTTGAGCTCCAACAACCATGTGAAAACAAAGCAACTGGAAACTTACAGTGACAGCCTGGGGCTCTCTCCCTGACATCAATTGATACAGCGTCTGCAAAGGATCACTGGCAGGCAGACCATTGGCAAAGTTGGCTAAAGCATTATTGTAAGTCCTCGCATCCATTTTGCTTGCTAATAATAAGGCATGTCCCCATTCATTATTGGCCATTGCCCAATCTGAAAGCAAAATGCAAACAATAGGTACATTTCTTTGAAGAAATTCATCATTCTTTTTAAGATCAACAGGCAAAATTTAGTGATCTGGAATCCTTGAATATTCAAAACTTTTTTGAATCTGACACTTGAGTTCATGGGTTTCACTTTGACATTAAATTTATTACCCACTACATGATTAGTCAAAAGAAGTACAATAAGAACTTTTTGCAATCATCAAATGAAACAAAGGCTGTACAATCTAGTCTTTTCTTTTTATTTGAAGGGATTCCTTTCTGATACACTCGATCCGATTAGAAACAGTTAACAGCAAGTTTAAAAAAATGCTTAAACTGACAATTAGTTTACCTAATGCTTCAGTTTTATTTCCTTGGAGGAGAAGCTGACGGAATTTCTTCGTTACTTCCGCATGAGATAATTTATTAGTCTCTTGCATTTCTCGAGACTTATCTAATCGGTCAAATTCTGCAGATCCAACAGACGATTCATAATTTTCTACTAGGAGTTCAGCTATATCCGTTCCTAAAATAACCTGAGAAGTGTCCAAAACAAAGGAATTAATTAATTAAAGAAAGAAAAAAGAAAACTGGTCAAACTGTCTGAGAAACAACTTCTGATGATAAATTGGCGATTTGTTTAGACATTCAAAATCTTGCAAAGTCAACAATAATTTTAACTGCACTGGAAAGGATCAGTTTAAAATTGATTTATCAAAACTCAAACTGAGTCCATTTTTTAATTTCTTATCAGATGTTTGGCTTGAATTCTTTCATTAAAAAATAATTCATCCATTTGTTATTATCAGGAGGCATAACCCATCACAAAAATAACAATATAGAGACAACAGTATAAAAACAGAAAACAAGCCAAAAAAAAAAGTTATTGAAAACTGTTTTAAACAGTTAAACTAAGAATAACAATTTAAAACAAAATATTGCAGAGAAAGATTTTACTGAAACCCAGGAAGTCTTGCTGAGGATCTCTGGTGCGTGTTCTCAAAAAAGGTGGAGGGGGGAATGGTGATATGAAAACCAGGATACATGGTAAATGGTACCATAATACATGGTACGTTACTTACCCCATTTAATTTAATGACGAGTTGAATGAGAGAGTATAGCAGGAACTCAGCACTAGATGTAGATTTCTCAGCGTGAGATCGCAGATACTGCAAAACAGTGTTTTTGTGAGTCTGCCCGACAATAAATGGGCCAGGACATTGAAGGAAAGTAGCTAAATCTGGGTCATTGGAGAAATTTGGCTGAAAGCTGTACTCATCAATAGTGGCCGGTTGATCATCTAGCGGATAAGAAGGGTTAACAAGTAACAGATTTCCACGACTATTTATTATCCCTTTGATATGTGCAGTTGAAAATTTGGCTGGAGTGTTGCGAGGCGATGCAATATCCTCAACTTTAGACATTCCATCATCGTCCAAGGCGCTAGTCTCAAGAACCCTGGAAGGTCAATGTAAAATTATTATCAGCAAGTGTCATTGAAACTTAAAATCATGCAATGAAACTTTGGTGTAGACAAGAAATATAATTAGTAAAACAATACGGACAGGACATATGTTCAGTCTCAAAAATTCTTATTGTATATTGGGTTGAAATAATTCAAGACTCAAAAATGAGCACTCCTAAAGCTGAATGTCAGAGCAAAAATACTGATGATGATTCATGATGGGTCACTAGATATGGTCTAAACTAGATTAACACATCACAATTTTTTTTTCAAAATTTTATGTCGAAAACGATTCTCAGAACGAAAAGTTTGGAATTCTATTCCTGGACGATACATTAACAAGTGCTTCAGCACCGATTAAAAAGAAGTTTTTTTTCAAAATTTTATGTCGAAAACGATTCTCAGAACGAAAAGTTTGGAATTCTATTCCTGGACGATACATTAACAAGTGCTTCAGCACCGATTAAAAAGAAGTTAGATTATAATAAAAATGGGGTCATTTGTATTTTGCCATTCAGCCAATGTTAAAAATGCACAAGTATAGCTTGTTAAGTGAGTTGATTTCCAAACTTCCTATTGTGTTAACTCGTGAAATTTTGAAGAGGGTATAGGTACGTTCCATTGTGCTTTAATTCATACCGAGTCTGGGGGCCCACTTGAACAGCTTGAGCAATAAAATTCGTTATTTTTTATTCATTTCTGTTGAATATTATTGATTAACATTAAGCGAGAATGGGTTATTAATGAGAAATTTTTTTTTTTAGTGCATAAGAGTATTATTGAATGGTAGATTTCAAACAGGTAATCGGCCCAAAAGAATCCGAATTTGATGAAATTTCTGATCACTGGGATTTCTCAACTTTCATTGCAAACTTTCGAAAACAACCAATTCGTTGAGTATCCGCCTGAAATAAGATACAATTTTGATACCTCTGAAGGTATTTAACTGACGAAGAGAAGAGGGAAGAGATTCTTACCTCATACTAGATTTAAGTTGTCCATTATTAGCTGAACTCCTACCAGAATGAACACTTGATCTGTCTGTCGGGTGAGACTGCTCAGCGGCACTGGATGCATACTGAGACGCCATGTACATTTGGTACTGAGCGTACCATTGAGCATATTTTTGAGGATCAGTTTCTCTCAGTCGGAGTAAATATTGCCGATCCATTGGTATAGAGGGGGGAGCAGGGAATTCTGGTCCGTAGAAAGATTTGGATGCCCTTGGGTCATACATTGGATACATGCGCCGATAATCTGATTCAGTTCGACTAGATGGTCGAGACCGATTTTTATAGTAGCGATCATCATATTCGTAATGCCTTGAGTGCCTACTGTGGCCTGAAAAAAAATAATAACTCTTTGTTAATAGAAAGAGCTTAAAATAAAAATTAACTTGCAAAAGAAATTTTGGTACAGTGATGATGACCCTGATTGATTTTTCCGGTTTTTGTGAATTTTACGTTGAGGCAGATTGCAAGAGATGTTCGGTGTTTTGAAACTTGCAGCATCTTTGTACAGGCACACATTAAACATTGAAATGTTAGATTATTTTTATTGAATACTTGATTAATTTAAATAATTTGAAACTAAGTTTACAAATATTGTGATAAAATAAGAGACATTATGATGGGAACATCGTGTTTCTAGTGAAATTGATTAAGGTACACGATGCAGATTTGATAAATAAAGGTATTGATTATAGATAACCTATCTACACCTTGACACACTGTATTTCCTCATTTAGAAAAATTTGGTTTAAAGCAACCGTGGTGGGGAATAAAGTAAAGTAATCAAATAATAATCAGTAAGAAAAAGTTACAAAATTCATTGTTAATCTTATTTCATCGCAGTCAGACTGAAAATTCTAAATATGATCAAAGGATAGCATGTGATAGTTTTACAGTAGCTATGATAAACATTTCATGGTAGATAAGGAAAAACATACCTGAATAATGTCTTGGATCATCATGGTAATAGTCGTAATAGGGGTCGGGGCTATGGCGTCGATGTCTCCTACGCCTTCTGCCATCTGGATACTTCCTATCACCTTCATGATCGCTCCCACTTTCATCTTGAGATGGTTCATAAGGTGTTTCTTTGTGGTCTCTGTCCTCCCGCTTTTTATGGTAACGGTCATCTCTGCGCGATGACCTATAGAGATCATCCCGCGACCGACCATAGTTCCTTTCGGGACTTGAGTAATCTGAATAATCATCAGTTTCCCTTCTTCTTCGGTGTCTACTTTTTTCATTACTCCACTTCTTGTCCGATTTTTCTCTTTTCCGATATTCAGACTCTGAATCATCGGCGTTTCTTGGTTCCCTATCGTTCCTTCTGCGATCCCAGTCACTCCTTTCGTCCGTAGTTTTGTCCGTTTCTTTGGCTGCAGATCCTGGCGAGCTTTCACCACGGATCTCACCAACAACCATTCTGTCTAAACCAGGGGGTGGAAGTTCATTGGTTTCCAAGGAGTCAAGATTAGCACCATTGTTGGGTTGAGGATGATCTGAAAAATAAATTAAAAATATTACTTGGGGTGAAATCAATGCAATGATTGTTTGATGAAATGCACAAAATGGTGCTGATAAAATTGACGATTTTTTGGCAGAAAAACCAAAATAATTACAGCTTTCAGTTACTTTAGATAAAATAGATTACACAAGTTTTACAATACTGTAGCTGCGTTGGTTCCCTTCTGCTAAATTTAATCTAAATTAGAGCCAACATTAAAACTAGGTGACAACATCTTCGTAAGTTGACAAAGTGAGCAAGAAAAAGCTTTTGACCGATTTGATTTAATAGAAGGTTTTCAAAGGCAGAAAAAAGGAAAATTTACTTTCCGGTAGACCTTGATAAGCATGGCTTGAGAAATTAAAAATACACTGATTCACACCTGCTTGAGACATTGATGAAGGACTGTCCTGATGCATCTGCCCAACAACCATTCTCCGAAAACCAGGTAAGGGATTACTGTTCTCCTCACCCGTGTTTCTTCCAGCAGGAGTAGTCCGCTCAAAACCTGCAAATAAGAGTTTCAGTTAAACAAGCAAAATCATGAATTTTAAGATGACAGCTGGATTAATGATTCTACTCTTTCCTTCTTAGATCAATTAGAGGGACATAAATCCATTATTTTCTAACCTATAAATGTAAAGGGAAAGTTGTAAAAAGCAAGATTTTCTAAGTGAAATGAATAGAAAAGAGAAGAAATAACTTCTGCGACAAGAATAAAGGATTGAGGATATTTTATAAAATAGGATCTTCAATACTGTCTAATCTTGCCTGGGATTAAATGAAACGAACTGACTGAAAGAATAGAAAAGACATTGAGGTTCTCACCTGATTCTGAATCCAGAGCTGGCCTTGGTGTCTCTACATTTGGATTAGAAAGTGAGACATCATTCAACGAATTCGACAATCTCATTCGATTATCACCATCATCAGCAGTGACTTGCCCAGGAACCATCCTTTGTTCAGAGCCTGACCGTGAGACAGCTACACTACTAGGGCCAGAAGTGCTCGGGTCTGTGTCATCTCTGTGCCCAGGAATCATTCTTGTATCTGATGCGAAGTCTAAATCAATATTTGATGGAATATCACAGCTGTTCCCCTGACCAGGGATTAACCTACAATTATTCGACTGTAAATTCATTGAATTCATAGTGCTAATAGACTGATTACGGGCCAAACTATCACTGCCAGCAGCACTCTCACCTGCGACTAAGCGCTCTTGAGAACTAGTTTCGTTCCACCTGGCACGGAGTCTGTCGCTATTTTGCAGATCGCTGCGTGAATATACTCTTTCACTGGCTTCACTAGTCTGTCCGGTGACCATTCGCTCATCCGAATTGGAATTGGAGATTTCTTCATCACTAAGCTGCCCGGGAACCATACGTTGATCATTGGGTTGAGGGCCTTCATCTTCTGCTCCATCACCTCTTTCATTAGAACCATCATCATCCTCGGCAGGGACCATCGTCTGACCCGTCACATGTCTTTCTAGACTGGAAGGTGTTGGCTCTTGCGGCTGCCATTCACTGCTAGAATCATTAGTTTCTACAACCAGATTTGTATCAACATCACTCCAGTAGGGTGATGCTTCTAATGGTTGATCATTATTGATATTCAAGTCGGTTAGAATGCTGTTGATGTTTTCAACAGCAGCATTTTCTTGTTGTTGCAACTGACTTTGTTGCTGAAGTTGGTTCTGTTGCTGGAGCTGATTCTGTTGCTGGAGCTGATTCTGCTGCTGGAACTGATTGTGTTGTTGTTGATGGTGCTGGGATGGATTTTGATGGAAAAGTTGGTGGTTTTGTTGTTGTTGTTGCTGCTGCTGCTGCTGAGGCAGCTGTTGCCGTTGATTTGACTGCGTCTGGTAGGATGGTAATTGGTTATTGTTGCTTTGATTAACCTAGTAAAAGAAAAAAAAAACAAAAGATAGTAAAAAGACTTACGAAAGAATATAAACGGACAAAATTGTCCATCGACTTAAAGACTTAACTGCTTTTGACAGTTTGGTATTATTTGGTGTAGTTCAGTCATAATTATCTGCGCTGATCAAGACAAAAAATATCACAGATAATCAAAAACGACGAATAATTCAAAATTAAGATACATGATTGAAAATCACTCAGAAAATATGGGAAATTAATTGAAGACCAATCTTGTTTTAGTTTTGGTAATTAAATACTTCAGTGCTCTATTTTTGTTTCAAAATAATCTTTAACATAGTGAGAAACATTGAGGAAAGAAGTAAAACCAGGACACGAGGATAAAATCACGACGAAAAAAAGAAAACATGAAGACAAAACATGAACAACGTGAAGATTAATTCAAACGAAAGTATTAAAGGATACCCTGCATAATTACTTTGAAAACAACAAAAGCAACGACAAGCCATTGTGGATAAGACTACATAGCTGAGGACAAGAATGTCAAAAAAAAAAAAAATGACAAAAAGCTACTGAGAGTACTTAGAAGAGTATTCAAGCCAGGTAGCAACAGAAGAGGAGGTTCAATTGGGGAGAGGTAATAAAGTGAGCACACTATGGCACTTTGGTACATTAAGTTCTCGACTATCAGAAAAGATATGCTCATGCATACATTGAAATATTAAGTGCCAAGAGTCTTTGTAAGTATGGTTTGTAAACAACTATAACTCTCGATTTTATGAAACAAACGGGTCGACATGATTTACACATTCAACTGATATTGATGAAGCAATGATGAGAAATGAAAGCCTCCGAAAAGGAAAGTGTGTGAAAGGAATAAATGCAACAGTAAAAAGTCATGAAGTAATACATTCTCGAATCAAAAAATAGTTTTCTCTGTTATTTATTTGTGAAAGAACATCACTGGAATACTTATTGGTATGAGGCAACAACAACTTCATGCCAAGAAAAGGGACCGATGAATGGCAAAGTCAAATGATCCCGAAGATTGAGGCTGAATGAATGTTACGAAAGGAAAATTAGGAGATATACATTGAGACACTGGATGCGAAAAGGGCACTTCTCCATTGCAGTGTTTCAGAATCTCTGTTGCTAATTAATCCCTTGCAGAAGAATTTAATAGGTGATTTTGCCAGAATTCTTTCCATAGAAAATTGTAGAATCATGAGGAATATCAGTGAAATTTTTATTGAAATGGATGCATTCACTTTCCTTACAATGAATGAAATATTAGAGGAGACTCTGAAACACTGCAACCGAGAAGTGCCCTTTTCGCATCCAGTGCCTCAACCATATTACAAAAACAGAAAAGTCGATTTTCAAGTATTCAAGGAGTAAAGTCAGGGTGGACAGTCTAATTAAGGTAAGCTCACGATGTTAGGATGCAGAAAAGAAAACAATTCATTAACAGAAAAAAATTTGAGTGACTCACTGGTGATGGCACTGAGGAGGGCGATTGCCATTTCCAGTCCTGATTAATATTACTACTGAAAGGCTGAATTCCTCCGCCTTGGTTTGTAAACCTTTGATATCCACTAATTACATCTGTGTTGGCCTTGGATGGACAAAATTGAAAATTAATTTAAAGAATTGTGCTAATTTTTAAAAATCAAACTATTGGCAAGGCTTTAAAGCTGTATTTAATGCTGTGATTGCAAAATATTTGAACACGCAAATACAACCGAAGTGATCGAGGAAAATATGTATAATTGTGACCAGATCTGTGAGAAGGGACATTATCTTCCAGGAGAAAATTATCTTTGACTTTTTACAAGCACCTAAACCACAATTTTATGCAATTGGAGAATTTTTGTCTACAAATTATAGATCTAACATCTCCTTCAAGTTTTGAGATTTTAAGGTCAAATTTGCACCAAAATTTAAAAATTCACGTTTTCTAAGCATTTGCAGTTAAGGGAAATTTTCTCTCAAAAGATAAGGTCCCTTTTCACAGATTCAGTCAAATATATGGACGTATTTCTGCCAAACGGAACTATGAGCATTAAGACAGGAGCCCTGAGACCCATAAGGATATGTGCACAACAGGGCTCACGTCATAATGCACATAGTTCCATTTGATAGAAATACTTCCATATAACTGTTCAGGACTGGTAGCATATGGTAGATAGGGATTTATATGAAATGGAAAAGAGAGCTTGCTGACAACAGCTGCGAAAATGTAGGAGCATTTGCAAAAACACCTCAAGAATCCTTGGAAAGTTGGAGCATGTAAAAGGTTTTTACCTTTCCTACAGGCAGACTTTCTTTTGTGAAATGCAACTCACTTCAAGCTGCATTGATTGAAATAAGTCTGTCTGAATTGTAACTTCGGGAAGAAAGGTCTTTTTGCTTAAGTACTTATTTTTTATATCAGAGAGCATTTCCCGTTAAATCCTCAAGAACAAATTTTTTAATCTAGGCCAGAAATGTCACTTACCCAAAAAATTTACCTCATTGCACTTAGGGGCTATTCCTAAAATACGTAGCGCTCTTGCAGGTAAGGGAGGTTTGAGCCTATAAACAAGGGAACGAGGGGTTGCAGGACTGTGTAACGTGATGCACTGGGAGAGGGGGGCATAGCGACAATTTTTACGCCACGTGGCAAATTATAACCGAAAATGCATCACACAGGGCTAATTAGAGGGGGAAGTCGAACAAAGGATTTTCTTGGGGGGGGGGGGGGGGG